AAAGCCGTTGTTAAAAGATATAGAGGAACTAGGAAACGATGGTCAGTAAAAAAAAAAGAAGGTTATAGTAGGAATCAAACCTATAACCTAATATATATATACTGCTTATACCTGCCCTAAATATAGATGTAAACGATATAACCAACGGTATATATGCTACTACTACGCTATATGACCATTTTATTTGTTAAGAACCAGAAGGAAAGAACTCACTTAAGAAAGGAAGGATTGGGGGTGTCTATAAGGGAAGGAACGGCTGGGGCAGATGGACTAGCTAAAGCTCCTGACGTAGCCAGCGTTTCTGCCTTCTCACGCTCTACCCGCTCTAACTCTTCTACCGAGTCGATGCTACGAGAAATAGTATACGCTATCTTTTCGAACTACATCCTCTTCTGCTTATATAGACGAGCGATCTTGGTGTCTAAGGCAACATACGCTGCCTCTACTTCTTCTATCTTAGCCTCTAGGGAGTTATACTGAGTAGTAATACGTTAGAGCTGCTGAGGTGATAAGCCTTAGGTGTTACAGTTAGGCTGGTTGTTTTAGATATAAAAAGAACAACGCCTAGAACCATCAGGCAAGACCTTATACTCGCTACAACCGCATTTCTCGCAGTACAAACAAACGTTCTTTATTGCAATAGGCAAATGGGTAAGGGTCTCCAGGAGTACGTTATACTATATAGTTTTAGGATAAGGAATTCTCGGTTTTGTTTTCTTTATATGACTCGACATTTTATCAGTACTAGGGCAGTAGGAAGAAGGGAAGGACCTGTACTTATAAGAATAGGCTGTTGGTGGTATTTGAATCAAGCCTTAGGCTCTTTCAGGATAAAAGAGCTCGAGGAGGGGCATCGTATCACGAACTAGGCTATAGAAGGCGGCCCGTAGCATATATAGGTAGGGCGTAGGACGTACCACCAGCCAATCACTTATATAACTAATCAAGGAAGGCTCGACAGGATCTCTTTAAGATCTATAAGAGCTAATACCAGGATCGATAAAGAAGGACTGAGAGCTAACAGGCTCGACGGGATCTCGTCGAGATCTACAAGATCCAGGTACAAGGTACTTAGGAACGTTCTTTATCTAGACAGGTATATAGTCACTCGTTCTAGAGGACTCTAGGAGTTCTCCAGTAAGCAATACAACTTGTTCGCTACCGATTGCTATAAACATTAAGACCAGATCATTATCTCGTTGTAAACCTTTTGGCTTCACCGAATCACAACCCTAGTTACCCTACCTTCAGTAAACCCTTGCAGAGTGTGGTTGAGACGATTCGTCACACTAGCTGCTGGTGCTAGTAGATACTCAGATTAAAAATATCCCTGGTTACTATACTAGAGGCAGACTCCAGCCTCCTGTTAGGCTTATAAAATATCGTTGCTAACCTATTTCCCTAGCCTCCTATCTTCCAGTTACTACCCTTTCTTTCCCCTACCTTATCTATTCCTCTTACTATCCCGGTTCTCGTTAAACTAGGCCCTAATAATTCTAGTCATTAGTATATTACTGTCCTTATCCCTAGCTAGTTTAGCTAAGCTAGCTCTTAGGAGCTCTTTTCTAGGATATAGTTAGACTCAATTTATATAGATAACTCCTTTAGCTAGCTGACCGCTTCGTTATAGCCGTTGTAACTTACCCTATATATAAGCGCTATATTATAGAGCTTCTTTATGATCACCATCTAGAGTTTGACAATATATATAGTATCTGGCTAATTATACCTGCCTGCCTGTAATATCTTTTCTTCAAACTATACTATAAAGGAGGAGAAAGACTCTGTTAGAGTCTGGTATAGGACTTAAAGCTCTACATTAGTAATCTGCTAGTTATAAGGGGTAGAATAAATACTATCGAGGTAGGAGATAAACGACTCTAGGGCAAAGTTATAGATAGGCCTTATAGTAGTATAGTAGTTGGCAACTTTAGATTAGACTTCTGCCTCTAGGTATATCCAGATAAATAGCCATTGATCCTAGGCCTCTTTAATAAATGCCAAGTCCATCTGTAGTACCTGTTAGATTATTATCTTCCAGGCTATAAAGGACTTCTTAATACTATCGAAACGGGGAACGTTCTTCGTTGGTTTCCTTATAAGGGCGGGTCTAGTTGGAGGTCCGCTCAGTGGTATATCTTCAGCGGGAGGGGGGTTAGATAGCCCTAGGGGGCTACTTGAGGAGGGTATATCCTAGGCCTGGTAGAGAGCCGCCTGTATTCGTTCTTGTTATATAATAAACTCCTGTACTTCTTAGAGCTTGCTGGCTTGTTCTATAAGAGTGGTCTGGAGTACCTGGAATTAAACCTGAAAGAACTCTGCGAAGTCGGCGTATAGGCCTGGTGCCGTACCTAAGGTGCTGGCTGATATTTCAGTATTGTATTATCTACGGGTCATTGTCGTTCTTCGTTCAGAGGAAGCTCTCTTAAATGTGAGGAACTGGCTCTATGGCGGAATGTAGATAGGTGTTTACTATGTTAATTAAGAGAGCTTATAGAAAGAGAACTACTTAGGGTTGTACCTTGCTTATAGCTCCTTATATCCTGATGTCCCTCCCCCCCTGATGTACGCGCTCAGGGGTCGGGCACCTCGGGCTCCACCTCCGAGCCGGGTCCGGGACAGCCCCGGCCCGTGAGTGCCTTGGGAGAGGGACAGCCCCGCCACGTCAACCCAAGGCCATCGGCCACGATCCAACACGACTGCTCATGGCCCTAGGCCTGAGCCCTTGACACTTTGGCACAATAGAGATAGCAGAAGTTCTACGTTTAGGGGCGCTATCAGGCCTTTATAGTAGGGAGGCTATAAGTTAGGCTCCCTACTACCTTACCTAACCTTAAATACTAATACCTAAGGTAAAATGATATATAAGATAGCGTATACTGATGTATATTGTTATATCACTAGCTTAATGGTTTACTAGAATAAGCGATAAATCTATATTGACGAGTGAACCCTGTCTGTCAGGCAACAGTTCAAGTACCTACGGCGTTCGGCAAATACGTTACCGCTCCTTTAAGGAGCAAAAGGGCATTGTAGTCGTCGCCTTTAGTATAGGCCTATCGCTAGTAGGGGAAGGACGGGACAATACTACCATCAATATAGCCTGTCTCCGTATAGGCAAGGCACCTAAGCAAGGAACTGGTACTTCTCCTTCGGGTAACGGTACTAGAACCAAGACAGCTGCCGCCTCGACTGTAGTCCTTGGTATCCTAGCAGCTGTATAGGCCTTTGTTGCTTGACTTGGCCTAATTTGATCGGAGGATGACGTGGTATAGACTCGTTCCAAGAGGACAGCCTCACAAGGGATTTGTTTATGAGTTGTGACGAATCGTGCCAACCACACTCTGAAAGGGTTCACTGAAGGTATTGTCAAGGGTTGTAATTCGGTGAAGCCAAAAGGTTCACAACGAGATAATGATCTGGTCTCAATGTTCACTGGTCTGAGCAATTGTAGCGAACAAGTTGTATTGCTTACTGAGGAAGTCCCAGACTCCCTCAACGAGTGACTAGCTACCGCATATAAATACATGCTAATTTCTTTGTTCCCGATGTCCCTTTGTACCCGGATCTCACGACTCTCGATGCGATCCTGCTGAGCCAGTTAGCTCTCAAGACGCTTTTACCGATCCGTGGTATTGGCTCTCATGGATCTCAAAGAGATCCATCAATCCGTAAATGATTGGCCGGTGGTGCGTCCCGCGCCCCACTCATAGTTTCCGCAGGCCGCCTTCATGCAGCCAACTTGTGACAGAATTGTATAAAAACTCTCATCCTTGTTATTTCTTGAGGTCAAATCAAACTCCCTGCCTTTGCAACACCCTTATCTCTGGATTACAGCCGCATTTCCAGAGGGCCGTACAAAGGGAAGTGGTTATAACCTAGAATATTATAGCCAAAGATGCTACGAGCAAGGTCCATTTAACGTACAAGTGTTACCCAACAAATCAGTTTTAACCTATAAATACAAAGGTGATCATAATCGCATAACTAACAGACCGACAGAACAACCAGTACCACTATCCCCACTCCTAGCAGTAAGCTCTGACCTATAGCCAGGCCAGAAGCCAAGCCCTTGCCTATCAAGGAGTTTGTCGGAGACGAGGACGGCGACGACGACATCGTCTCAACAGTAGTTGATCCCGAACCGGTACCTGACGTCGAGTTCTTATACTCATCGACAATAAACCGGACAATGTCAGAGCTATACTTATGGTAATATAATTGGTATACGTTCATATTATCACCCTAGTCATAGAAAAGGGTCGTTACTGTTACACCAGGATCTCGTAAAGCCATAGTACTACTGGCATACAGTGATATTCTTACAAGCCAACATCTGACTTACAGGAACGAAGAACAGTTAGCCCAGGAATCGCGGTAGGTTATCTAGGTAGGGAGAGAGTTAGAGAGTTAGGACTGGTTGGCTTACCCCTCCTTTGTGTCCAGTGCCACGATCGATAGTCTGGTTAGTGTTAAAGGTTGGGTCTCCCATAAGGGCAACCGCAACAACTGTACAATTCCCGAGTCAGCACCTTAGCGTAGAGAGTTAAGGAGCGACAGGAAATGATAAATTAACTTACCGCTACTATGGACGAGGTCTGGCGATAATGGTCCCTCGTTAAAATCGGCCCCGATCACGCTGAACTCGTCTCCAAGACCCCTACACAGGGCATCCCGCACGACATTAGCTCCCTGAAAGTAGCCGATAAGGGCGATCTTGGAATTCGGGCATGTCTTGTGGTACTGGTTGTTTTGATCGACGATGGCCTTGGCCCCGATATTCTCCGAGTCCACGTATGTCTATGAATGTGTTGGTGGAACGAAAGTGTTTCTAGAAACGAGGGTAGGATAGTAGGTAATTAGTATGCGCCTGCTTGAACCAAGTGGGGAGGAGATTGAAGGGTTCAAGACGAAGGGAGCGCCAAGGCCGGTTTATTAATAGTCCCAGAACCTGCTGCCCTCTTTCATTGAACAAATCCAGGTGCATTCGACTAATTAAATCAGCAAGCCGCTACCACAGTACCGTGACCCCCTTCCCGCTCCTTATGGATCCTCTCCGTCCAATTATCCCAGTCGTCCAACACATGCCTGAGCGGCTCAGACGCTGTAATATCATACACTGACTCGAAATACTCCCTGGAAAGCGCAAACGGCGCGCCCGTGATGTTGGGAATGTACTTGCCGACCAGCCGCTGCGGCCGCACGCGGTCCAGGTTCAGGCCCTCCTGCAACGCACGCCGGAAACCGCTCATGCGCGGGCGCAGCAGCGAGCTGTGGAAGGGCACGTCGACGCCCACTAGCGGCACCGTGGCCGTGCCCCGCTGGAGCTGGATCTGGTGCGGGACCGCCTTGGTGGTGGTGTTGTTGGTGAGTCTGGCCAAGGTCTGTTGCAGGTATCCGTCGTCATCCTTGCTCGGGTCGGCCGGACCTTCTGCGCGCTCTTTCTCCTTCAGGTTGTCGCACACGCGCTGGAGGATGTCGAGGGCACGGAGGTCGCCGGCGCAGACGTACTGCCGGTTGCGGATGTTGAGGTTGACAATCTCAATAAAGAAGCCCGTCTGAGTCTGGATGTGCCCGACCAGTTTCCGCAGGGCTGACTCGGAAAAGCCTGCAAGTTTGAGATTAGCTAAAACAGTGGAAAAAATAAACAAGAAATGGCAAAACCTGGTAATTATACTTATCCTAGGTAGATGGTGACTTACCGTTGCGGACCCTGCTGGGGTCGACGGCAACCATAGCAAAGCCGCTGCGCCCATGCTCGTCCCTCTCGACGGCGTCTTGCATTGTCATACCCCGACAGAAGACAGTGCTGAGAAGGTTCTCCAACATAATGCCTGTCGTCGATAGCAGGGCGGCGTACTCGCCGAGCGAATGGCCGGCAAACTGGCAAGAACCGGCATTCACGATGCCGCGGGCCTCCATGTCCTTGAACGCGGCCAGCTCCATAATTGTCAGAGCTGGTTGGGCAAATTGAGTTGAAAACAACAGGCCGTTGGGTGAGGAGTGCGTGTACGAGGTCGAAGTCGGCGTCACGGTCGGGAAAATCGGCCGTCGACGGAGTGTAGTGGCCTCGGTCGCCGAGGTTGTTTCTGATGGTGCCGCTTCGTAATGGCACATGGAGAGATAGTTCTGCCGCAGCATGCGCCCTCGGACGCCGCCGAAGTGGACCTTGATCTCCTTGGGGTTGTTGCGGACAATGTCAAGGATGCTCACGCCGAACTGGGACTCGAAGTAGGCTTCCGCTCTGTCCCAGATAGAGCGAGCGACGGGGGAGGAGGCATAAAGCTGTTGACCCATGCCCTTTTCCTGGCTGCCCTGTCCAGTGAAGACGACCGTGGTGGAGGGCTGCGCGACAAGGGCAGAGCCGGTGAGGACCTTGGCCCCCGTCTGTTTGTTGATGACGGTAATGTCGATCACTCGAAGGCCGGCCTGCATCCCAGAGTGGCAAAGCGACACTTTGAGTGCATCATCAGGTAGCACCATGCCCACAAACGACACCTTGTAGTTGCGGATCCGGTCAGGATCCCGGCTGGCAGCATACTTCTCGACGCACTGGCGCACGACTGCCGAGCAGTACATGCCATGTGTGATGGTCCCCGGCAGGTTGGTAAGCCGGGCAAACAGCGGCGAGACATGAATTGGGTTGAAGTCTCCCGAGGCTCTCGAGTACGCCTCGTTGGACGAGGGTATGCGGACTTCAAACTCGTGTTCGGCGGAACCTGAGGTACGAAGCGACTGCGTTCGTTGAGCATTGATGATGCGGCCCCGCCGGCGGAGATAGGAGAGCACGGGGTTGGTTCGATGCTCCAGACCGCGGTAGTTGACGGTGCCAAGGGGGGTCAGGTCTCCGGTTTCAGACCGGATGTACGCCCTGCCGGTAGTGTCTAGACTGGCATATGTCGACCTGGATTGCCATCGAGTCATTGTTTCGAGGTGGAACTCGAGAGTGAGGTTGGTGAGATTGAGGTGATCGAGCTGGCTCTTGTCATCCAGGCGGAACCACGGCTTGCTGTCGAGAATGGCAATATCCGTCTCGCTGGAGATATTGAGCTCGAGGCGTTTTTCGACCTCGCGGGCAAAAGTGGATGAAAAGTCGGTGTAGCTTCCCCGGAAGAGAAACGACGAGTACACCGTCATGACGAGGGCATTTTCCTTGTCCGGTCCCGGTCCCGCACGCCGGACTTCGCAGGCAACTTGGACCGCCTTGCCCGAATCCTCGATGGTGACGGACTTGACATATGCCCGTGTTTGCAACTCGTCTCCAATCTTCAGTCGCGGGCTCCCGCGTCCAGGTCCACGCTCGTCTTCTCCCTCGGCTACCTCGTATTCGTTTGCGAGATGCACCAGGTTCAGGACGTCGCCCTGGATCGGGTCCTGTAAGAGCGCGCCGCATATCGGCGCCCAGCAGATCACGATGGCAAAGTCCATGGGCACTGTGGCCAGCTGATGGGCCTTGGTGTACCCGATGGCGCGGTTGAATGCGCCAACACGAGCCGAATCAATGGTAAAGCTACCCATACACGGAGATACCGATGGAGATGCTGATGGAGATGCTGATGGAGATGCTGATGGAGATGCTGATGGAGATTGTGTACTCGGATTTCGCCAGAGGTGCCGATACATGGTGCCGATGCGCTCGTTCCGGTTCTGCATCACCTCCCATATCGGAGCATAGGGGGTTTCACTCCGGTATTCGAATTCCAGTGCCAGCGGTACGGGCTCGTCGCCGTGGGTGACATGCGCGAAAACCAGCACTTGGATAATGCTCTCCAACTTGGAAACCCGCAGTAGCGTCTGGCTGGCCTCGGTGTATAGCGTGACTGAGTCCAGCTGGATGTCCGCCACATGAGCCGAGGAGGCTCCGTCAAGCAGGTTTCGAACGGGGTTCTCCGCCAAGTCACGGCCCTGGACAACCAGTCTGGATCCGAACAGAGCTGATCTCCACGGCAATGCCGCCACGGGGCCCGTTCTCATAAGAAGAAGGTGGAGGTCCTCGGCGGAGAGACCATCAACCCGTACCAGCTCGTCTTGGCCTAGGTCTGTAGGTGCAGTGGGGACAGGCATGTCTCCTTCGTTCAACCTGTTCAACCTCGGAAAAGACAGCGGGAGAAGAACCTCCTCGAAGGGATGTGAGGGGCCGCCGAAGCTAGACGTCATGAAATGGTCAATGACGCCGCAGTTGATGCCATCCAGCACTTCATGAACAGGCTCGTCCACTTGGCAGGTGTGGCGAGCCGCGACAGGGCCGTGCAAGATCAAGGTGCGGTCGGCATCCCCACCCACGACAGCCTCGGTGTCTTCTGACTGCCATAACGAGTCCTTCTTGAACCACGTTTCGAAATTGTCGTCGAGCGCCGGGACAAATGGGACCGGCTTCTGGCCCGGTCGTCGACACAGCTGCATGAAATAGTCGACGTCCTCGTGCATAACCCGTGTTGTTGTCACCAAGGGACACTCCCGCAAGACTTGTTCCAGCAGCGCGAGGGGGTCTAACCGGCAGGCGGTTTCGGATGTGATAGCCTCGAGGGTTTGGCCGTCTTTCAGTTCTCCCTCAAGACAGGGACTGTTGACATAGCGGAACCTTTCTTCGGTCCGAGTCAGAAAAGCAGCCACGAAGCCAACGTAGCTCGTGTCGATCCATCGCCGGCCACCAACAACGCCAACAAACATGAGCTCCACCAGCCTCCTGGCGACCTGCTCATATGTCATGTCGGAGACCTCGCACGCCGTCCCGTTAGGGTCCGCCCTCTTGCCGAACCAGGGGCGCTGGAAATCGGCGTTGAGCCGGGATATGATGTAGTCCCTGTGGGCCGCCAAGGCTTGCGGGCGCTTCTTCCGGTCGAGCGAGAAGATCATCTTGTCCAGCTGCGCCCACAGCCGGGCCCCGCGCGTGGCAATGACGTGGATCGGCTCGCCCATCTCGCTCACGATCGACATGACCCCCCCCGTCGGCCCGCTGTAGGTCCGCTCCCACTCTTCGTCCGGGACACCCGGGGCCGCCGCGATGGCCCGCTTCGCGTCCGGCGAGGTGAGGGCTTCAACGCACGTCATGACGCGGCTGCCCAGCAGGGCCCCGTCAAACGGCATAGGGCACAGCTGGCCGCCGCGGGCGAGGTTCCACGAGCCGTCGAGGAAAGGGGCGACGTCGGCCGCGCATCCGAAGCCCGAGCCCGCAACCAGGACGATGTTGTCGTGGGACCGTAGCTCGGCGTAGGTCTCGAGCAGTGGTGCGTACATGTCCTCGGCGCTGTGGTGGCCGCCACCACGGCCGCCCGTCCACTGGAGGATGACGGGGAAGGAAGGGTTCTTCCGGGCAATCTCGGCGACTTGGCGGATGGCCGCGGTCGAGCCCGGCTTGAAGGAGATGTGTTCGAGTCCCAAGGTGGTGATGTACTCGGTTGCCACGTCAGGCGTGGGGACGCCGCCTCCCACGGTCAGGCCCGTCACGGGGAAGCCCTCGGCGCGCAGTTGGCGGATGAATGGGATCTGCCATGCGATAGCCTTGGGCGCGGCGTAGATGACGTTGATAGTTATGCCCCGGCCGACGGGTATCAGGTCCCGGAGTTTGAAGAGCGCAGACCTCAGCGGCCCGGCGCTGTGATAGCCACCTGCGGCAAATTCGACGTGGTAGCCGGCATTCATGATGGCAGCCACAAACTCCGGCCTTGTCGTTGTCGGCGTCATGCCCGCGACCATGATGGGAGGGAGGCCGAGGAGACGGCTGAGCTTGGAGCCAACCATGAGGCCCGAAGCCGTCCGAACGAGCGAGGGTCGATGATCCCTGGCCCAGTCGGGGCCCCAGCGAATGATGCTGCCCGGGCCGGGCGAGAGCAGCTCGGCAAGGGAGCCGAGACCACCGGATTTGTTGGTGTTGGTGCTCTCGGGCTCGTCCAGCTTTTGTGCTACGATAACCCTAACCCCGGAGCCCACGACATTGCGGTGGGTCAGGGCACCCGCACCGCTGGTTCCTCCAGGGCCAAAATCGATCACGTGCGTTGCGTCGGTGAAGTCCATCTCGGCCCATTCCACCGGCCGCGAAGTGATCAAGCGGACCAGCAGCGGAGTTAGGTTGGCATCGCCGCCATCATCGTCATCGATATCTCCGCCGTCTAATGGCGACTCTTGTGACTCTTGTGACTCTTTCGGCTCAGTGAGAGCGGCCAAGTGCCCACCAGCTCGGAGCTGGTTGACGGGGAGCCTGAGAATGCTCGCTGGTATGGAGCAGATTTCCCTCAAGTCGCTGTCAATCAAGGGTAGGGCGCTGTCGAGGAGGCTGCAATGGCAGGGAATGGTTATGGGAAGGAACCTGGTTGTGGGAGACGCCTTTCTCTGGGAGTAAGGTACGCGTGCTGGTGCGCGCGGGGACCCTCCTGATGCAGCATCGAGTGTCTGGATCAACGCAGCAAGCGTGCGCTCCGGGCCGCTGACAACGAAGCTGGAAATCGAATTTGCCAACGCGATCGAGGCATGCTTATCCGATGGGAGTCCCTGATTCAGCCCCTGGATGACGGCCTCGAGCTGTCGACGCTGGATGTTCACGACAGCGAGCATGGGGGAAGCTTTGCCGTGCCCGTCGGACTCGAGTTCTCTCGCCATCTCTTCCGAGACGCTGTGTTGGTGGAAGACCTGCTGGCACCTGGAACCGATCCAGAAAAGTATGGTGATGGCCTTGATCGAGGCATCCAGGAAGCTGGCCCAGTCGGACGCAGTAGCCACGGCAGCAGCCACCACAACCCCTTGGGAGTGCCCAGCCAAACCGCTGAAGACATGCGGGAAACTCTCAGGCCCGACGCCGAGACTCATGCAAACGGCTTTGGCGTGGGCGAGTTGCAAGAGTCCGATCAATGGAAAGCTGACCGGCGCGCTGATGAGGTAGTCGTTGTCCGGGATAGACTCGGAAGACTCAGATTCCGGACTCCTGAGCCACCGCAACACGTCCAAGCCATGAGGATATTGATCTGCAACCCGCTCGTCTTGGCTGAGGGTATGCAAGACGCTGCTTAATGATTCAATAAAGTCGCGAACCGAAGGCGCGTAAGTGTCCCAGACAACCCGGAGCTCATCAAAGTAATGCTTGTTGTTGCCCTGGCCGCCGAATAGGCCGTGGAGCCGGGCCTTGCCACTGGCTTGGGCATGAAGCAGCGCAGACTGGCTCGGGGTCCTCATGGCGTCGGGACTGGCAGGTCGGTCCGATGAGCGAAAGGGCAAAGAAGTCGACTGTTTGCAAGGGATCGGGCGGGTTGTGAGTTGTGACCAGACAGTATTCGGCAGAGCAAAAGTGAATCCCGAGTTTTAGCAAGCTCTGCCGGCGACGTCCTCACTCAGTTACTCAGTATTAAGCTAGCTAGGTGGGCTGAACTGCCATACTTTACTTCCCTTCACCTCATATCACCGTCTAGGATTGGACTCATTGGAGCCTTTGAGGGCCACACTGTTCCTGTTCCAACGCTCGCGTCGCCCAGTATGATGCCCCCGTACTCACCCTACCCAAGGCCAGAAGCAGTTGCTCTGCCTTGGACATGACTGCGCTGTGCAATTGGAGCTGTCAGCAACTTTGAGCTAGGAGGCAGCGTGGCTGTCAACCTTTTGTGATGAACAGTAAGGTAAGCTGAGAAACTGAGTTTCATGGGTTTTACAGGCTCATAATTCTTACCGGCAGCAGCCTCAGGGTCCGGCACCAATCCCAGCCCCGGCTGCGGTTACTGTCGGGGATTTGGGTCGATGTAGTAAGTATGCCCGGTATCATTCCCTCAGGGTTACTAGGCCCACGCCCACGGGACTTACTACACTGCACGTGCTGGCTCCTTTGGACCGCGTAACACGACCGCGGGGCTTGGCTGTGCATGGCTGGACTTGGCTTTGCTTGGCTCGGCGAGATTCGACTGAAATACAGAATACATCATTACCTACCTGACGTACTGGTCCAGAAAGGCAGAGCAAGGGGCGGGGCAGGGTAGTAACCATCGTAAACCATGCATCGCATGTCTGCTGCTAGTGTCAGCTTTCGTTCACCGAGGGGGAGGAACCGGTGGTTGGGGGGGGAGCGCATGTTGCAGCGGGCGTGCCTGAATGGTGTGCGACCAAGGGCTTCCGCGAATCTTCCATGGAATAAGGCGGGGTTATCGAATTCGCCGATCGGACCTGCCGTGCGGGAACAGAAAACGGGCTATTGTAATTAGTACTAATGCATATGCAACTGCGCGGTCGATCACACGTGACACACACACACACACCCACACCCACACACATGCGGGGATCGTAGATGCCATGTGTCCTGGCAATGGCGTGTTGTCCGATGCGCGGGATGGGGAATGCAGTTTCCTCTTTCTCTCTCTCCAGCAGCCAATCATATCAGTCACCTCGGGCTCGTTGATCTGCCAAGAATTTATTGAAGCACACAATCTTTGGTTTCAAACTCTAAACCATCACCGTCGCTCCGACACTTTTTTGACCGCTTGGTGGGTGGGACTTGGCACCTCTTCTTCGAGCTCGTTCACCACGTTACTATGTACATAGATAGGAAAGTTGCACATCCTTAATGGTGGCTGTCGTGATCCATCCTGCAAGGCTGTTTGTCGTTAAGGGGAGTCAAGGGAGCTGGGTCGTGCTGAATCATGAAGGCAACCAGACTGGCGCGAGCATTCGCAGCTGTTGGCTGCAGTCTGATTGTTACGCCGTCGCCGCACTCGCTCGGCTGCACCACCAGCCCCCGGTGGACCACGTGCCCTTGCGTGTAAAGCGAGTCCATGTCGAGAGGCTGTATCGAGGTCCTCGGGCGTTCATGTTCCTTGCCTGCGTGTGACTGTGACCTGCCGCGCACCGAGAAGCCGGACGTGGTGTCAGCAGCGTGGTGACCGCCAGAGATGCAGCAACACCACGAAGGAGCAGAGGTCGGGCTGCGGCGGCACGACGCCGATGCGAGATGGCCCGCTTCATTGTAGCTGTTGCTTGCGCCAGTCTCCATCTGGAGCCGAGGATGGTGGTTGGAAAACAGTGAGGCCTTGCCAGAACTGCCGTCGTCGCTGTAGACATCGTTGTTGCGACGTAGAAGCAGCCTCGGAGTGACTGGATGTAGACTTGGCGTGGTATTGCCCAAGGTGAAAGAGTCCAAGTTGGGAGATGCTGGAGGTGCTGGAGATGCAGGGTCGCCTACGTCCATGGAGTGGCCTCGCGAGTGGCATATAGCATCCGGCCCGATAGGCGTGGGTGGATAGGCGAACGTGTTGTTATTCCCATCGCCGGTACTGCTGCTGCTGCCGCCGTCGCCGTGGTGTTGAGGGCGATATGAAACCGGAGACGAACGGACTGTCTCGCCGGTTGATGTGCCTGCATGCTGTCGCAGGCTGTGTTCTGGTACGGGCTGCAGCAGACCATCTGTGGCCGAATCCATGCTCGGGAAGCCCGAGCCCCAGGCTTTGACCTGGCCATGGGAAAGCCCGGCGAAAGGGTCATGGTCTGGTCCAGGTGGTGGCGTATGCGGCCAGATGCCGAGGTAATCGCCCATCCAGTCCGGCTCGGAGATCACAGAGCCTGTGGCCGGACCGCCGGTGTCGTGGTTTGTTGTTGTTCCCGGACCCCCCGGGCCAGCAAGACTCGGGCGACTCAGGCCAGGATTGGAATCGGGATCCCTGGGAGGGGTGGCGAGTTCGGCCTGCGCTTGTGTTTCCTCCAGCTTCTCCACCTGCTTCCTTAACCGCTTGATCTCTTCGTTACGCTCTTTCAAACTGCGCCCTGGGCCGTGTCAGTAAGGTAGGTACCTAAGGAATCGATGCATCCGAAGCCCAAGGTCCTCACTCACTGTATGCTCTCTGTGCCAAGCGGTTCTGGATCTTGCGTCGATCGGCCGCGTTTGGGAGGTTCCGCCAGTCCTCGTCTGGCTTCATCAGATCCGCATATGAAACCGTCTGTTCGCGAGCTGACTGTGCTTGTGTTGGCCGCGTGTACAGCGGGGAGGGGGAAGGTGGCGCCGGGTGGTCGCCGGGCGCAGCAGTACCCGTAGGCGTCGTCATCGTGTGGGCGAAGTGGTAAGTGGTGCAGAGTCTGTGGAGACCACGAATGCACAAGAGAGACCCGGGAGAATTGCTTGGCCCCAAGTGGACTGTTGAAGTTGCAAACGATGGTAGCACATGCGCCTACCAGGTTAATTATCAAGGCAAGAGAAAAGCAGATCTAATGGTGGCACTGGCTGAGCCCTCAATGGTATAAAAACTACGGAACACCTGCATCTGAGAACGGCTGGCCCTCTGTCCGATTTCTCGTAAGAAATGGCAGAATTGACCCGTTCGGCTGTGCCTCATGTTGCGATGAAGCTGGGGACTGCATCATTGGCACTAGCAGATGCACCGGCGCGTTGGCGAGCTCTGGCGACAACTTTACCATTCCCGTCTGGAAGAGAGTTCAAAGTAACCCCACGTTCAATTAAGGAAGGACCCGATGCCAGCCACCAACTGTCGGGCTCGCGTCAGGACAGAATCCACGCACGGCGGCAACTGCATCCGTGTAGGTACCTGTACATTACCTAATCTGCCTCCATTGCACTGTAGCCTTTGTTTTACACTTCGTGTTTGCATGTAATCTGGGTGGACACCGCGTGTCAGCGTGACATGGGCGGCGGGTCAGTCACGGCCTGGCAGCCTGTGGCCAATCAAACCAGTTGCACGCTCATCAGCAAAGCGGCTACACGCAGAAGACATGCTGAAAATAGTACGGAACATGTATGTACATAGTACAAGATGTCCAGCGGTGCGAGTAAGGTTGTGGGCCTGCCGCGCGGGAGTCCCTCTCCACTGGTGCACTGTACGGTACGAAGCAACTCGCAGTCGAACTGCCTCTGCCAGAGTCGAGACCCCCTCAGCCGCTTTCCAAATTGATTAATTAACACTGACAACCTATAGACAGGCAACACTTACCCAAGTTTAGTCTGGTTAACTCTGCTGCTATATTTCCAGAATAGCTATAAGAAGTAAGTGATTGAAATGGGCGATAATACAGCGATGTAATCCTTTTTATCTCTATTTCGTCTTATAGGTTGAGTGGGAAAGCTGGACGTTTGCAAAACACGTTTGTTACAAACCTGAAGTTTTACGGTGTCAATTCACCTAAGCAACGTTGAATCCATCCATGGATGAGTTTGCGGGCAACAGTCTCCGGTTTCCAGCCTCGAGGCAGGCTTCACTTCGCTAAACTTCGCCTCGCTACCGCCTCGGTGCAGCTGCAGATGCTACAGTAATTATTCATAGTAACCTGTCAAACCAAGAGCAACCCTGGAGGTCCACGTGCATGGCTGATCTTGGTCTGGCCAAAAAAGCGGCAGACATACCCCACTTCTCTACAAAAGTGAAGGAAGACAAGGTTTTTAAACCGCAATACTGCGGTCATACGGATATTCCAGTTCTGAGTAGATATTACGGCGAAAATCGGCAAAATCCGTTCAGGTTTGATAGAACGTTGACGCGATTGGACTCCAGGCATCGGTTTTGCTCTGGTGCTTTTTTTTCCGCTAGCCCGAGCTGATGTGTCGAAACTTTGACTGCGCTGTCCATGTGCGCCACGAGTTTGGTCGTCGCTAAACTCTTCCAACCAGCGGGGAGAATGCGACCTTGCGGCCTCCAACCGCGCCGCGAGGCAACCGCGCTGGGAGTTGACAGCACCGACAGGTCTCGTCAACGTCTCATCGCAGCTGCAGCGCAGGATACGCGTCACGGGTCATCGCTCCGCCGACTCGCCGCTAAATTAAAGTAGGTAACCGCCGCTGCATTCCGGTTTAGGGTACGTACGCAGTACGGTACATACACCGGAAATTTATTTCTTTGTTTGTACCGCGTTTGCTTACCCCGCTGCAAGTGCCTTTTGACCCCCTTACTGCCCCGGACTGTGTGTCCTGCAGCGGTGCAGCCGTGTTTTACAACCCTTGAAGCCGCTGCCAGCGCTGAATCGGGTGACCGTGACCCAACGCAGCTTCTCATCTCTGCTCTTTTCGCGTCATCATTCCCGACATACCTCACCTTACAGATAGCCTGGATTGCCTCGCCTGCTTCACGTTCACTTTGCACCACCTTTCTGTGCCCGCCACCCACTGGTACCTGGTATCCCAATCGCTGGTATCCCAAAATACCCGGTACCCTTTCACACGCCATGTCGGTCGGCAAACCGTTCTTGACGGCGGCCATCGGGCTGCTTCGCCGCGATGAATGGGACGACGATGGCGGCGACGACGACGACGCTAACTGCGTGAAGGCAACGCCGGGCCCGAATGGCAATGTGCCCATCACGGCCTGCAATTCATACTACAATTACGACCCCCAGTTTGCCCCCGCCGTGGCCGTGGCTGTGATTTTCGGCATACTCACAACAATCCATCTTGTCGAAGCCATCGCGCTCAGGAAGGTTAGCCGCTAGCGCCCGCCAGCCCCTGTCTTCCTCTCTCATCTCCACTTCCCAGCGTCGTAGCTGGGCCCGTCTAGACTCTAGTAGTTGTGTCTCTGATCTTTTTTCTTTACGTCAGCGATATGCCTGGGTCCTGATCATGGGCGCTTCGTGGGAAACGATTGCGTTCGTGCTCCATTCCCTTGGCGCGAGAGACCAGCAGCAGATCGCCTACTCGACCGCATGGAACGTTCTGTTCCTTCTAGCACCGCTGTGGATCAACGCCTTTGCTTACATGACGTTTGCGCGCATGGTTTTGTACTGGCATCCTGAGGGCAGAGTCGCCGGTCTCAGGGCGACTGTCATCGCCAAGTGCTTTGTCTGGGCCGATGTCCTCAGCTTCATCGTCCAGGCCGCCGGCGGTATTATGGCAAACCCTGGTTCCAGCGCCGACGTCATCAGGATTGGCTTGAATATTTACCTGTCCGGTGTAGGCGTCCAACAATTCTTTATTGTCGTCTTTGTCGGCCTCATGTATGCCTTCCAGAGGCGCTGTAACCGAGCTCGAGGCACTTTTGGCTACGATGGGAAGAGGAACTGGAAACCGTTACTGTTTTCGCAGTACGGTGTGCTGACCTGCATTACTGTAAGCCTTGCTCCGCTCCCTAACAACTCTCCTCTCCACGGTACCACTGCCAGATCCTTTCTTTGCTAACCACCGACCCAGGTTCGAATCATCTTCCGGATTGCCGAGTATGCTGGTGGTGTCCTGCCTAGCAATCCGGTGCCCTTCCACGAGGAATACACCTACGCGCTGGACTGTTTCCCTATGATGGTAGCCCTTCTGATTGTTGCCATTTGGCATCCAGGGCGGTACATGGTAGGTCCCGAAAGCGAGTTCCCCAGGGTGTCGAGAAGGGAGAGGAAGCAAAGGAAGCGGGAGAAGAATGCAGCAGTGCGCGAGGCGAAGGAGGCCAAGAAGCAAGCAAAGCGAGACGGGAAGAGACAGCGCGGCGACCGCAGCTACGGCTATGAGCTCTGATAGAGTAATGGGTTTGGGTTCTTGCCACCGCGGAGCTAACACATGTTTGACTGAATATATCACCCTCTGGTTCTGGATAATATGTATGTGAATGGGTAAGGTAATTAGAATAGAATGGTAATTCTTGTTGTTAGCACTTCGTTATGAGGGAAAAGAAATTTCAAGAGTTTTACCGGACATTCTTGTAATAGCACAATCCCTGTCCCATGTGAAGCTTTAAAGGGTTGAATCAGGTCTTTGGAGTGGGAAAAGTACCTAAGATTTCAGAGCATTGATCCACTAATTAACAGAAAGACATGAACCGTGTAAATAACTGAGCTCCACAGCTTGCCTACTTCTGCGCATGATCACTTGTCCTTTGTATACCTCGTGATTCTATCTTGAGAGCCCTGGGCTAATTTAATTATATCAGAGTGCGTTTTCAATTACTCGGAGTAACCGGTGACTTCCCAGCACCAACCATCCACATCCTGTAATTTCCCACGTTGAATCTGCGTCATCAGGCGTGCTAGGCCCACGATGGAGCCACGCTCGCTGTTTGAGTTGGGAAACGAGTGCTTTTCTTCCGTCGACAGCCGGGTGATGCTGCGGATCGGCACCACCGCAGCTGCAGTGCCAACCGCCACGACTTCGTCCAGGGTGTCGAGGGTAGAGAAAGGCACCTCTCCCTTCTCCAACACCCATCCTTCCCTCTCGGCGAGCCTAACCATGCTGTCACTGGTCGTGCTGGTAATCGCACCCTCCGCCCTGGGAACGACGAGCACGTGCTGCCCGTCCACCACCTTATGGCCGAGGAACCCGCTCGTCGAAAACTCCTCGACCAATGACCGGGTGGCGCTGTCGAGGTGCAGCGTGATGCCGTACCCCAGCTCCTGGGCTCGGGCAGCATGGCGCCAGACCGGCGCGTAGTTGCCCCCGACCTTGTAGCCGCCCATGCCCCGGGGCGCCGCACGGTCAAAGTCTTCAAGGACGAGGCCGTCGATGGCCGCCGAACCGTGGTATGGCCGAAGGGGCTGGACGTACACCGCCAGGATGACCTCTTCGGGCGGCGCCAGGGCCAGTTTGGCCGAGGCGCCGAAGAGTACTGGGCGGATGTAGAGGTATGCTTCTGCGTCGGCGGGCGGCACAAACTCGGCGTTCGCGGCGACGGCCTTTCTGAGGCACTCCAGAAAGAGGTCTTTGGACGGCGCCGGCAGCGAGACGGACTCAGCCGATCGGCAGAGGCGGGCCCAATGGAACTCGGGGCGGAAGACTGAGATGGTGTTGCTTGAGCTCCGGAACGCTTTCAGGCCCTCGTAACACTGTTGTCCATAGTTGAGCCCGGGGCTGAGCCCGCTGACGGAAATGTTGGGGTTGGCAACAAGGGCGGGCTCCGTCCAGCTGTCCGTCGAGCGGTGATGCCGGACTTCTATATGACCGTTGACGGTGAGGTCGAACGCGAGTCCAAGCTGGGCCCAATCTAGAGTGACATTAATTAGCTGAAGTGTCCCGCTGTCCTTGGTCGCGGCGTGAGCTCACTAATGTCCGTCTTGGCTGGTGGCGCAGACATTGTAAAACGGTAAAACCTCCAAGCGTGCGGCCGAACAATAAAAGAAGAAGTGGCAATCCACCACTAACTTGAACAGCGTCGTTGGCCACACGGCAAGGAATTATTATGCGAGCACGACTAGCCGTGGGAGGATCGGTTGTTGCCCCGATAGCAGATGTATTATCTCGCACTGCTCGTGCAGAAAACGCTAGAAAATGTTGCGAGTACCTCTGCGTCTGATATGTCCAGGTAGGTCCTTAGCCAAGTTGCAAACGGGACCTTGATGTATGGTTGCCGTGGTCTTCCCACTCAGCAGTTGAACTCAGCAGTTGCCTGACGTAGCGAATCTTGTCGTACTCCGCTCGCGATCAGAGTAAGCAGCACCAGATTACTATGCAAATTGCGGCACATAGGGTCTCAGCTCCTAGGGGCAGTTGCTTGCTCCCGTTTTAGTTCTGTTCTGGTTTGTCTGCTCTTGCTTCCGTGATGGTAGTTTGTTGTAATGATTGCTTGCTAGAGGTCAGGATGAATCTAACTACCTATACAGTCTATACTCGATGACATCTTTGTTTGCCTTGAGGGAGAAATTTGACTGCCTAATGACCCTAATTTCCTGTACATGATGACTCTGACAATGCTCACCAAGCGTTAAGCCCTCTCATCTTATCAATTACCATTGGCGTCGTCCAGCGGCCTGGGCGAGAACTGCAGAAAGGGGCCGTTCTTTTGGCCAGTAATATGGTCAAAGAGCTGATACTCGTTGTGGCGATGACGGCCGAGTGGCCGATCTTTTCGTCCCCGGCCAATTAGGCCCTGCTCGCCCTCGGCAAATCTGAAGTCGCCGGTGAACAATACCGTGGCCGCTGTCAAGGCCATCTCTGTCGTTGCGAGGCTCTTGCCAAGACAGCTGCGCATTCCGAGGGAAAAGGGGTTGAAGGCAGACCGCGCCCGTTCCACGCTCCCGGTGCCATCATCCACAAGCCACCGTTCTGGGCGGTACTCGAAGGGGTTCTTGTAGTATTTGGGATCGTGGTGGATCGAGTACAGCGGCACGCCAACATCGCAACCTGCGGTGATGGCCTGACCGTCAAGCACAACGTTGTCAGCCACCACCTCGCGCCACAGAGCGATGCCGACAGGCGGCGACATGCGGAGTGCTTCGTTGATGCAGGCGTACAGATAGACGCAAGACGCCAAAGCGGCTCCCATGCAAATGTCGTCGCGCGACCGGAACTTGCTCCGCACTTCGGCAGCAGCACGGTCGTAGGCCTCCTTGTTGTCCGCCAAGTAGAAGAGAATGGCACCGAACGCAACCGACGAGGTGTCGGCTCCAGCCACAATCAGCGTGGTGCTTTCCGCGGCAATCTCGTTGAGCGTGAAACTTCTTCCGCTCTCTGGGTCCTTTGCGGCGACTAGGTTGGCAAAGACATCTGCGTCCTCGGTGCTGGTCTTGTCCTCCGGGCCGGCGGTCGTGACCTTACCCAGTCGCTCACGGACAATCCGCGTAACAAATTTGATAAAGCGGTTCCTCGCAATAATGGCGTCACGGAAGATATACTTGTCAATCTTCAGCTTGGCAAACTCAGGGAACTGGATGAGGAACGACATGCGAACATTGGAGCGGTCGATCGAGTCGACCACGTAGCGGAACTGTTCGTTGTGGAGCAGGTTGTAATGTGCTCCGAAAACAACGTCGGCCATGATGTCAAAAGACAAGTAATAGCCTGCAAATGCATATCTCCGAGTCAGCAGTCAGCCACTTTGCACGCCAATCTCCAAGGAGCTCGTCTCACTTACACCAATACGACATGTCCGCTGGCTCACTCCACATTCTGGGAGAATTCTTCGTCTCCGGCCTGTTTCGGCTGCTAAACATGGCATCGCAGAACTTGGCGATGTGGGCCGAGATTCGATGCTCGTAGCCACGCTGTGCTTTATCCGATACTCCCTGGGCCATGATCCGGCGCCGACGAGCATGTTCCTTGCCGCCTTTGATGGTGAGTGTATTGGGCGCACGGTGAACTAGCGGTTCGTATGCGCTAGCCTTTACGACCTTGGAATTGCCACTGGTGCTGTAGATGTCCCGGAGAGCCTCGGTGGTGTTGAAAATAAGCCGGCTGGGCCCGTACCGAACGTGGTCGCCTTGATATCAAATGCTTTGATCAACAAAGGTTTGGTTCCATTGCAGGTTTCATTATCACCTACCGTATCGCTGATGGCATCGCCACATGTCCAGATGAATATCGCCTTTCCAAGCATGGTATGCCGCATAGGCATTGGTGAACTTGGCAATCCAGGGGCCTGGATATCTTGCCAGTGGATGGAAGAATGCCAGGTACGTTGCTCTTGCGAGAAGCTGGGACATGTAAGAAGAGGATCGTGCAAGCAATCAGAGACAGAGAGTGCAACGACAAGTCCGACGTACCGAAATTACCAGAATCCCAGCGGCAGCACTGACGCCAACGGCGGCTGATCGGGAAAGGGCTATCCAATCCATCACAAGCTAGCTAGGTAGCTTAAGGCCGGTACGGTAGGTGTTTGTGTGCGTGCGAGGGGTGCTCCGTCCGGTTGGTCGGTGGTCTGAGTAACTCAAACCAAGGTTCTGGCAACGAGTGATGCCCTGCATCGAACTGCGCTTGGTTGGAATAATAAGGACCAAGTTTCCCCCCCGATAAATTATCAGACAAACTCGCTAATTGCGACGACAAAATTGGAATCAGGAATTTCCCTCTGCTAGGGCCTGGCTATTGCTTTCCACATGTTGCATAAGTCTTCGAGTCTCCCGTGGCGCTGCATTGTCTGCTATCGTTTGGCTTACTCCTACCGCTATGTGCCTGGGAGTTTGTGGTAGTTGTGGGATGTAGTAAGCATTGGGTATAATCGTAAGCACGTGCAGCCAGCGTCGGCACCGCGAAGCACATCGACCCCTGTCCCACATCAGATTGGGATACCAGATTGGTACTGGCAATCGCACGGCATGACCGCCGTATTGTGGTTAAATGTAATGTCGTCGGGCTGGATTCCGCTAAAGTCGGGCGTAGGAAAGTTTCAAAATTCGAATTGAGTGGGAAGGTTGGACGGGACATATCACGAATTGCCATCCGTTTGTCGAGACAGCCATCGTATCGCACTGTGCACGCATTGCCCTTGTCTCCACTACTTGCTGTACGCAACAGTACCAGATCTTGGAAGCGTCCAAGATGTCCTCCACCAAGGATTACACCGCTGCCGAGCATCAACTCACGCAGATTCTCCTCACTGAGCTACTGGCGTACGTCACTTCCGTCAAGCGGTGGAAACATCACAAACATAACCCCCCAACTCCCAAGATGTGCTATCTAACATGGCATCCATGGTTTTAGACACCAATTTTGCTCCCCCGTTCAATGGTAAGATTACAACGCAAGTCCGGGTTTTGTGCTCACAGTAGACTCAACACACTAAACCATGGATGGGTCATAGGATCAAGACACAAGATGCTATTCTCGGAGAATTCGCGACAGAGCGGCTGGTGGAAATTGGCCCCGCCGAGACGTTGACAAACATGGCGTCGAAGACGGTGAATCAGGACTACAGCTTTCAGGACGTTGCACTGGGGGTGCAGAGAGAACTACTGAGCTACAACAGGGATGCCCCCGCCATCTACTATGATACCCCAGGCGAAGAGACGGCCGCTGCCTCTGTTGCCCTCGATGCTGCCGTCAAGAAGTCACCCATCACTCCGGCTCCGACCGTATCTCCGGACATTGTCCCAAGTCCAACGATCGATGTTGCGGTGACTGCACCCGCACCGACCATCGTCTCGGTCCCCGACAGGGCTGTATCCCCCCACGACATCATAACAACTCTTGTGGCGCTTGCTCTAGTGAAGCAGCCGAGTGATATTGCCCAAGACCAGACACTCAAAGCGCTGTGCGGCGGTAGGTCGAGTACCCCATTCCGGCTTCCTCAACTTGGTACTAACACGAGAGACAGGTCGATCAACAGTTCAAAACGAGATCATCGGCAACCTCACCAGGGAGTTTGGGTCTCTTCCAGACCAACCCGAAAGTGTGGCATTGGAAGACCTCGCCTCTACAGTTGCAGATCATGGGGCTGGGGCCAAGCTGGGGCCCTTCACCAATGCCTTGATCAACAAAATGGTCACAAGTAAGATGCCCGCCAACTCGAATGTGACGGTTTTGCGGCAGCATCTAGACCATCGCTGGGGATTTAAGAACGGCCTTCAAGACCGGGCGCTCCTTGCCGCAATTCGCAGCCCACCTCCGGCAAGATTGAAGGGCGAAAAGGACGTGCATTCTTTTCTGGACGAAATTGCTCGGACCGTGCTTGGAGGTGTTGGTGTTGACCCCGCCAGCCTCACGACATCAGCTGGCCCCGGGGGGGATCAAGCCAGGGCCATGGCCACGGCCACTGTCGCGGTCTCGTCCGAGGCTCTCAAATCCTTTCAGAATGAGCGAACGAAGCATGCGGAAGACTTGCTTCGCGTATATGCCAACCAACTGGGCCGTGACATCAACGGCACGACGAGCGAGAAAGCCGAAGCCAAAGCCACCATCGACCAACTCCAGGCCAAGCTCGATGCCTGGTCGGCCGAGCACGGCGATGTGTACGAGCAAGGCATTCGCCCCGCCTTTGACGTCAAGAAGGCTCGCAAATACGGCTCGTGGTGGAACTGGGCCGTCCAACAAGTCGTGGCTCTCTTCTCTGCCGCCCTAGTCGGCCAGTTAGACGACTTCCTCGTTCGGAGCAGACAGTCCTTGGATCTGATTTCCACGCGGGCTTCCCCGAGACTGCTGCAAACCATCGACTGGCTTCTGCGAGAGCTTCGGGAGGTGCCGGCGTCCCAGGCCGTGAGGCGGGATGTTGCCCAGGAATGGCTGCTTGACCTGCAGAGAAGCTGTAAAGATTCCGTTGCCTGCAAGCACCCGTTGTTCAGATGCTCCGTCGTCTCGAGAGTTCCTATCCTGGAGATTGACCAACGGGGTCGGATCTCGGTGAAGGAAGCGGCCCGCATGGCACGACCATTCGAGGCAGACAGCGCTGTCCGGTGCGGGCCTGGCTGCGATACCTTTGATTCCGACGAGACGTGCTCTGTCGTTGACGCTCAGTCATACTACGGTTCCTTCACAGTTCCAACCTTGTCCATCTCTATGTTCGAGTCCGCCTACCGACCTCCTGGGCCTCCTGGGGGGGCCGAATCGCCCAACAGCTCCGCCATGGATGAAGACGGGGTGTTTCTCCAAGTACCGGGGACCATCGAGAGTCCAGTAGGAGGAGGCGTGCTGAACAATAACACGTGGACCCCCCAGCTCAAGACAAAAGGCCGCAGTGGATGGCGCACCAACCACGTTATCACCAACGGCTACCTCCGCTGGTTCCAACAGTGCTCTACGGAAGGCATCTCGTTTGCCGACAAGACCGTGTTGGTGACCGGGGCCGGCAAGGCATCCATTGGATCCGAGGTGGTGGCCCTGTGTCTTGGTGCCGGTGCCAAGGTCGTCCTCACCACGAGTTCCTACTCCCAAGAAACTTGTGCCTATTACCGCGATCTCTACCATCAACACGGCGGCCGGGGCTCGCAGCTTGTTGTCGTCCCGTTCAACGGCGGCAGCAACCAGGATGTACAGAAACTCGTTCGGTACATCTACGATGACGACGCCAAGGGTGGTCTCAGCGGGCTTGGCTGGGACCTCGACCACATCGTCCCGTTTGCCGCTGTAGGCGAGACGGGTCGTCCCATTGACGGTATTGATGACAAGTCAGAGCTTGCGCATCGCGTTATGCTCACCAACGTCGTAAGGCTTCTCGGCGCCGTCAAAGCAGCCAAGGCAGAGCGGCGCATCACCACGCATCCCACCCATGTTGTCCTTCCGTTTTCTCCCAACCATGGCGTCTTTGGCCAAGACGGGTTGTACGCCGAGTCCAAGCTGGCCCTGGAGGCCTTGATGAACAAGTGGTCTTCCGAGAGCTGGAGCGAGTACCTGACGCTCTGTGGTACTGTTATCGGCTGGACCAGGGGCACGGGCTTGATGAATAACAACGACCTTCTCGCTACTGGTATCGAAGCCGATTTGGGCATCCGCACGTTTTCGGCTTCTGAGATGGTCAGTTTAAATCTCCTCTTTCTGTGTTCATGTGTTTATAAGGTATACAAAGCCACCAGGTATACCAGTAATTACTAACCGTGACCAAACTGCGGGCAGGCATGGCACATCGCCGGGCTGATGGACGCGAGTACAGCCTCGTTCTGCGACCTCGAGCCAATGATGGCTGACTTGGGTGGCGGCTTGTCTTCCTTCATCAATCTACGACCAGTCCTTCAGCATATCCAGGACAAAATCAACTCCAAGAGTGACATGAACAAGTCCATCTTCGAGGAGCAGCTTCTTGAAAACGGCGAGGACCACCCGTCTTTCTCGTCGACTAACCCGACTCCGAGTCCCCCGTCTCGTGATCGTTTAGCCCCGAAGGCCAGGCTTCAGGTTGAGAAAGCGAGTCTCCCAGAGTACCAAGAGATCCAACCTCTGGCTGCCAAGTTACGGGACATGGTTGATCTCGAGCGTGTCGTCGTCGTCGTCGGTTTTGGAGAAGTCGGTAAGTGCATAAGTGCAATTGGCCCTTTATCTTATGTCAAAGCACAACGCGTCAGGTCTGTTTATAAGCAGCGGTGCAGCTGACCTTACCTAGGCCCGTATGGCAGCAGTCGCACTCGATGGGAAGCCGAGTGCTCCGATACCTTTTCTGTGGCCGGTTGTGTGGAGTTGGCTTGGGTCATGGGCCTCATCCGATATCACTCCGGTCTCCTCAATGGGAAGGACTATTGCGGCTGGTTTGATGTCGAAACCAAGTCTCCCATCGCAGACGCCGAGGTAAAGGCAAAGTATGAGTATCACATCACGCAACACTCTGGCATCCGCATCGTCGAACAGCGAACCCACGACCTCACTTCCCCCGACAAGGAGCCGAAGCTTCACGAGGTGGCCATCATCCAAGATCTTGAGCCGTTTGAAGTTCCTCTTGAGATTGCAGAGGAGCTGAAGAGAGAGCATGGCGCCAACGCGGCCGTGACCGAAATCGACGGCGGCCAGTGTTCCGTCGTCTTGAAGGCGGGCACTACCCTGTGGGTTCCCAAGGCTGCTACGTCGCGAAGCACAATCGGTTCCCAGGTACCTACCGGGTGGGATCCCAAGACGTACGGTATTTCCGACGACATCATCGGCCAAGTAGACCCCGTCACTCTGTACGCACTCGTGGCCACTGTTGAGGCATTCCTGTCTGCTGGGCTCACGGATCCGTACGAGCTGTACCAGTACATACACGTCTCAGAACTAGGAAACGCCGTCGGGTCCAGTATGGGAGGCTTGCAGTCGCTCGACCGCATGTACAAGCGTCGGTTCCTCGATCGGCAGGTTCAGAGCGATATCTTGGCCGAGACGTTTGTCAACACGACGGCGGCTTGGATCAACATGTTGCTGCTCGGTTCATCGGGTCCTCTTCGTACCCCCGTCGGTGCGTGCGCCACCTCACTCGAGAGCCTCGACACCGGATACGACATGGTCATCAACGGGCGGGTCAAGGCCGTGCTTGTGGGCGGGACAGACTACCTGGAGCGGGAGCTTGCCCGGGAATTCGCCAACATGCAGGCCACCATCCACGCGGGTGACAATGCAGCGGCCGGGAGGACGGCCAAAGAAGCTTCGCGGCCTGCCACTACGACCCGTGCTGGGTTCGTCGAGGGCGAAGGCTGTGGCGTGCAGCTGCTCATGACGGCACGTCTTGCTCTCGACATGGGTCTCCCAATCCGCGCCATCGTCGCTCTGACACACATGGCCTCGGACGGCATCGGCCGCTCCGTGCCGTCGCCGGGCAAGGGAATCCTGACAATTGCAGCAGAGAAGCCCAGTGCCGAGTTGGTCGCATCGCCACTGCTCGACGTCAACCACCGCCGCCGACGGCTGGCGATCCGCCTGCGCCAGATCGACGAGCAGCGCGAGGCCGAGCTGGCCCGGGTGAATAGCTGGCTGCAACAACAGCAGCTACTACAACAACAACAACAACAACAACAGCTGCAACAGCAACAACAACAGCAACAGGAACACGGGCAGCACAAGACGAGCCTGTCAAGGTCTACCTCGGCCGAGAAGCACGCGGAATACTGCCGTACAGAGATCGACAGGGACGCCAAACGTGCCCGACAGGTGGCCAAGAACACGTACGGCAACGACTTCTGGAAACACGACGAGTCCATCTCGCCCCTGCGCGGCGCCCTCGCGGTCTGGGGCCTCACAGTGAACGACCTCGGCGTGGCCAGCCTGCACGGGACCAGTACCAAGCTGAACGATGTCAACGAGACGGCCGTGGTGCAGGCGCAACTGGCCTCGCTGGGCCGGACGCCCGGCAACGTCCTGCCCTGCTGTCTCCAAAAGGGACTGGTGGGCCACGGCAAGGGCGCCGCGGGCGCCTTGGCCGTCAACAGCTGCTTGCAGATGCTCGCGTCAGGCGTGATCCCCGGCAACCGTAACGCCGACGACATCGACCCCGCGCTGCAGCAGCGCGACCTGCTGTTCTTCCCATCGCGCACCTACCAGAACCCGATGGGCGTCAAGGCCTTCTCCGTCACATCGTTTGGCTTTGGCCAGAAGGGCGCCCAGGTCATCGGCGTTAATGCGCGCTACCTGTTTGCCACGCTGTCCCAGGGCGAGTATGAGAGCTACCGGGTCAGGGTCACCGAGCGGGAGGCCGCGGCGGATAAGGCGCTGCAGCAGGGCATCTACGGGGGCAAGTTGGTAAATGTCAAGGAACATAACGTGTACGACAAGGCCAAGCTGGAGGAGGCCATGTTGTACAGGTAAGTCGTGCATCGGCAAGGTACGGCAAGACACTGAGGGGCAGCTGCTCCCTAGCAATCCGGAGCTACATGTGTATTTTGGTTCTTTTCCTTTGCCAATTTATGTCAATTATCAAGTTGTTCATTCCCTCAACATCTATCCACGCTTCATGTCGTTGAAGCTGGAAAAAGTTGAATCCCTACAGGCATCTCGTCCTTTAGATCGGAGGCCAATACAACAGAACAAAACCAGCCTTACAGTGCACTGAGTGCAGTTGCGGATCCCGCCATAGACTGGCGTCTAGACGTGATTGTCTGGACTCTGTGAATCCAGTGGCTTCGGTGGGTTTACTGTTGGTGGCCCCTCGGCCCAGGTTACGTTCGCTTACACTGCCCCGATGCAGTAAGTCCCAGCTCGGCCTAAACAAGACGATGCCTATTTCGTACCGGGCACTGGGTGCATTGCTTCGTGTCGTAGTGTTGCCGGCTTCCGCTGACTGTGGAGCAAATTTGACGTTATACCACCCATCATGACCGATGCAAGGCACCCTACACATTGCCCAATGTACATGTAATTACAGTAAAGTATGTACAGTACAGTAATTACCACCGCGCCCATTAGGTTGTATTAAACTCTGCCGTGCAAGCCGATTCTAGATTTAGCCTGTGGGTCCGACCCACGATTTTTTCGGCCCGTTGAGGAGGTATGTACATACTCAGAGTCCCAGCAGTAAGCAGCTTACTATTGCAGTGTCTTGGATAAGTTACTACGCCTCCGAGTTGCCTCGAGAGGCTCGAACAAGCAAACAAGCGAATCTCGTCTTCTTCTCGGTCTCCGATCGGCCTGGAGCCCATCTGGGACGCTGTTACACAGTTACGGTGTGATCTGTAATTCCGTATACTGGCTCGTGGCCGTGCTAAGTAACAGCTACAGCACTGCACTCAGTGCACTGCAACCTACGAGCCCGCAAGCCACAAGACATTCTCATTTTTCTCTCATTCAAGTACACAGTACCGTCAGGCGGCTCATCATGGACAACCTCCCAGCTTCAATTCCGAACACTGCCGCGCTGCTCGGCTCAGCCCTGGCGGTGTGCTTTCTCCTCGCCAACGCCAAGAGCCTTCCACTTGCTCATAGCTTCCGCTTGCTGCCGTCGTTCTACGGCTTGTTGCTAAAGCCCCGCCTATTTCCGGTGGCAAAGAAGACAGGAGTTTTGCCCTCCGAGCCGAGCACTGCAGCAGCAGCGCGGCCAGCCCTCTTCAAGCACCATGTCACCAGCTCCCGGGCGGTGCTGCTGGACCTCGACATCAACATGCACAAATCAAACAGCACCTTCTTTGCCGATGCCGATATCAACCGAGCCGAGCTACTCACGAGGCTCTTGGGGCCGGGGCTCGCAGCCACAGGGCCACCCGCCGCGATTCCCCTCCTAGCGGCGGTCCAGTGTAACTTCAAGCGCGAGATCAGCCCGTTCCAGGCCTACCACCTCTCGTCGCGCATCCTCGCCTGGGACGACAAGTCCTTGTTCACCGTCACCTACTTCTTGAAGCCCGGCGCCAAGCTCCCTGCCGACGTGGAAGTGGCCGGCGGACCAGGGGCTGTCCTAGGGGATCCGAGCCTGAAGAGATCCGTGTATGCCGTCATGGTAACGCGCTATGTCTGCAAGGCAGGACGGGTGACGGTCGAGCCCGCTGCTGTTCTGGAAGCAGCCGGTTTGCTTGTTGCCGGGGCCACAGCGCAAGGAGCGGAAAAGGAGAAGCACGAGGCAGGGCTGGTCGCAGCTGGTGATGTAGAAATAGCTGTGAAGCATGGTATACAGTACGTGGGTGACTGTATGGTATGAAGATTCCATCCACTTTAAATACCAAGTAGAGTCGGGCAGCCCTGTTTTTGGACGACTTTTGTAATTCATTACTTTGTATGGGGATGGTTGAAAGCCAACTTTGCAAGCAGCGCAGCTCACCTCACCGTGCATTTGGCAAAGAACATGATGCTAAAAGGATCTGAAACGGCACATTTCACCACAAAATAGAACAGTTGTACTCTTAATATGACGCTTTGGTATATCAAATTCCAAGATATCGTGGTTCAAAGTTTGCCTTTCAGTTTGTCTATTTTAGCTGTGTTTGTTTGGGAGTGTGATACAGTCAAGCAAAAAACAACAACAAATGAGGTCTTGGCCCCCCCACCACCAACATAACCACTCTCATTCAAATGGCCACAGTGATCGGATTCGAGAGGTAAATGTAACTAAATACAGTCATTAAGACCGTGGGAATGAGTGCTTCAATACGATACAGGCTAAAACCTTGTGCATTATCCTCTTGGCCGTGGAATAAGCTCTACATGGTATTAATTACCCTAACCTCGAACTTCTTAGATTGTTGACTACGTTAGTTAATTGATTAATTAGGTCTATTCTAATCTCCAACTCTGTAATAATAACCACCTGGTAGCAACTTTATAATACCTGATTATCATTAGGAATTGATATTGGATCTAGGAGCCCCTTGCTCATCGCTTCTTTGAACAATATATGTGGACTTTTGATCAGGTTATAATTAGGGTAGGAAAATAACTCCTCGACAAGCTTGAACCATCACTGTTCCAACAATTTATTTTCTACCTTTCTGTGACAAAAGATATATTGTTACTGTAAATAATAATAACATAAGGGTCGATCATATTGGGGACCTTTTCGTATATTAAACTCTCCTTATAAATCCGGGCTGTTATAATTAATTACTTGTTCGTTTAGCATCTAGGTTAACAATTAACTGGTTTTCTTATCATCCACTGTGGATGAATGCCCTGGCAACACTGGAACATTTTGGAAACGAGATCGATTTTTCCGGGAGAATGAATCTATGATACCCTAAGGGAGAAAGGTCCCTTTTAACATGCTGCCCGCAAGCTTGTGCTGCTGCTTCTAACTACCGCGGCCACACCCTCGTCGCCTTGTGCGACACGTTTTGGCTGCTTCACTGATTTCCACTCCATAAACACACTGCCAAAGACGGATAAAACTGCCAGGGCAACAGCTACAAAGAAGGTCTGCGTAAGTGAAGCGTTTACTGCCTCGATGAGCCGCGGAAGCTTCTCCGCCGGCACCAAAGCTGGTAGCGAGGCCGGGCCGTTCCCAAGCAGTTCGTGGGTGTTGACATTGGTGATCCCCAGGTAACTGGCCAAGTTGGCCAGCAGGCGGCTCTGGAAGACGGTCTCGCCGATGGCAATCATGATGGCAGCGCCAAAGGTCTGCCCAAACACAATGACCGAAGTGCCTGCGGCGACGTCGGCCTGGGGAAGAACGGTCTGGACGCCGATGAGCGGCTGTTGAAAGCCTAGACCAACCCCGATGCCAAAGACGGCGGGATAGCCTAGCAGTGCCGCCCGCGGGGTGTCGGGACCAATCGTGGTGAGCAGGCCAAGGCCGATTGGCATGAGGACAGAGCTCACGAGCATGAATGGCGTGTAGTAGCCAACGAGGCTAATGACAGCGCCGGTGCCGAGAACTCCACTAATAACTCCAACCAGCATGGGTAAGATGCCAATGCCAGACTCCTGGGCGCTGGTCGCTTTGATGATTTGGAACCAAAGTGGCAGCTGTGAAGGGGGAGTCAGAGTTGGCAATCTCTTGTGGTTGACAAAGGTGGGTTACGGAGTGCGTGTTGCGCTTACAAAGTAGGTGATGACAACCAGGGCCGAACTAGTGCATGTAATAAACCAAAACCCTGCCAGGACCGAGCGTTGTGTGATGACGCGGAATGGGAGTATGGCAACCTCTGCGTTGCGGTGCTGCGAATAGGCCTGTTTGCAATTGTAATAGTCAGCACTACCATTACTGTGTAGGGAGAAAAATAGGCAAGTCAGTCCTCACAAATATGCCAAACAACACAACTCCGAGCACCAGGAGCAGAATGACATCGTTGTCACTGAACGAGTGACCGTCGGTCCCTACAATATCCAGGTCAGCTCTCGATCGCGACCATGTTCACCATGTTTTCTGTACTTGGTACTTACCAGCAATATGAAGCCCCAGCAGCACGCAAACAACGGGAGGAAGAAGAAGCACCGCTCCCAGAACATCCAGCTTGTACAAGGTCTGCCGCATAGTCTCCTTGCCCGTGCCCGTCTTCCGAGGGCCCTTGTGCTTGAGGTCTCGCAGGCATACGAGCACGATGATCAGGGTAAAGCCGCCGATTGGCAAGTTGATGTAAAAGCACCAGCGCCAATTGAGATTGTCCGTCAGCACGCCGCCGATGACCGGGGCCGAAATCATGGCGACGCCCTCCATAACTCCTATGCAGCTGGTAAGGAGAGGCCGTAGCCGCAGCGGCACGACTTGGCCCAGGATGATAAGGCCACCAGACAGGATGCCTGAGGTGCCAAGGCCTTGGACGGAACGGCCCAGGATCAGGATGGGCGAGCTTGGCGAGAGGGCCGCGATGAGGGAGCCGGCCATGAAGATCATAATGGCTGAGGTGAAGACCCATTTGGCTGGGAACAGGCTGTAGATGCGGCCGTACGGGATCTGAGCGGCGCACGTGGCCATCAGGAACGCCGAGCCGTACCAGCCGACGTCTTCGAGGCTACGGAACTCGCCCGTGATGCGCGGGATTGCCGTGGCGATCACGTTGACGTCCATGGCCACGAGGAACACGGCCGCGCTCAACGCGATGGTGACGGACACCAGGGGCAACCCGGTAAGGTGGTTGGCTGTGGGGTCGTCCTCGTCTTCGTCCTCTTCCTCTTCGGCCTGTTCTTCCGGTTGATTTTTCTCCTGGTCTCTCTCAGGCGCTAGCTCCCTCGAGCCCAGTTGGCTGGTTTCGTCATCCGGGATCAAAGGCTTGATATGGACAACCTCGGGCTTCTTTTCCAATTCCGACAAGTTTTCGCATCCGAGTGAGATACTGGGGGCCGCCGTACTGTCGCCTTCTGGGATTGGGGTTCCAGCTGGAACGATGTCGCTACCGGCTTTGTTGCTTGCGATGAAGCTAACTGTTGAAGAAAGGACCGTTTCCGCGTTTTGGGACTTGGATGATTGTGATAGCCTGGAGGCGTTGCTCGGTGGCCTGGGACCAGGGGATCTTGGGGAAGATGTCCCGGTGGAGATCCGGTGCAAGCTGGTTCCGGCCTCTGCGCCTCCCAGTGCAGCCAGTGCTTCTTCCGGACCCGGCGAGCGCTCCTCGCCGTGGGCCACAGACTGGCTGTCTTTGCTCATCATGTTGTTGTTGTTTGATTCTGCGCTACCATGGGATTCGGCGTACTGCCGAGTTTGGTCAAGTTGGCTTTCCTTGTCGGCATCGATGCTCAGCTCACTAAGCACCCGTCGGGATCGGTTGATCAAATGCCCTAAATCTTCGCCTGGCGCTGCCGTCTCGCGTGCAAGTGAATGAACGCTGCGCTTATCCGAGTGAAACGAGAAAGTCGATGATGCGTAGGACTTGCAGTTATTGCCGTACCAGGTCTTGGCCGTCTTGTGTGAATCTGAAGTTGAAGGGCGCTCAAGCTTGTCGTTGTTGAGGCCCGGATAGAGGGCGTGGGACATGGGCCACATGGTCAACGCTGTGCTCGAGTGAGTCGAGGCAGAGGGGAACTAAGATGGTATAGGTATCCAGGAAAGAAACAATATTGGCACCGTGGCACGTCCAGGAGGCAACGCAAGCGATATAGTTTGAGATATTGACTTGCAGGGGCGGGAAGGTTTTGCTGTGGGTTTTAATTGCCTTGGAAAAAGGTACCTCGCGGGTACCGTGATTAGCCTGATCATGGCTGGAAACCCAAGGTAACTGAGTCGGTTTTCTTTGATTCGTTTTCGTTTGACACGCGTTCAACGGAACAGCAACTTGCTGGCCTGCAGTACTGCAGAGCCAAGATGCACGGATTCGATGACCGAGCCGGTGGTGTTGGGTGGTGCTGACTGCAACGCTGCTGGACTGCTGCGATGCAGTGGTGTTTGCTTACTGCGACCCACTTACACGCTCAAAACTATTACTATGCCTGTGCCATTCGGATGCCATTTGGAGAGCCAGGCCCACTCCCAAGGACGGCCAATGTAACCCTGAATACACTCCACTCCTAGCTGCGGCTGGACCGACGCAGGGCGGGACCTACACACGTGCTACAGTACACGGTGAGCAGAGTCCCTGGCAACACACAGCTAGCTGATTGGACCAGGAGCGTTTGCGGGTTACTTGGGACATAACACGGAGACTGGAGTGTTCAGTCCGAGTTTAGAAGACGCTTTGTTTACCATATCTGGATGGACATGTTTGGAGCACATAAGGCAGTACCTTAGACATTAGACTTGAACTCCTCGAGTTCTCTCTGAAGCCGCTGCTCTAATGATAGTCCCTCTGTCCGACTGTTACCTCACATACTTGATCACCGTGGACGGTAATCGGCCTCGATAAACCTTGCATGTCCACTGCCTTGACAGGCATACCTCGTCACTTTTACCGTACACTACCGGTCCAAATCTTGAGGCATTGCGCCTCAACTCATCCTAGATTACCGCACAACACAGCTCAACCTCCCGCTTGAACAACCTCAACCTCGACAGAATGTCAGTCAGCGCCCCCTCGAGCCCCTTTGACCGCGCTGCCTTGGAAACAAGGTGGCGTGAATATCTCAGGGATGCGCCTCCGCCTGCGTTTCCCCATCGCCAAAACTCCACGGCGGCCACTGCGGCGCCAACACCTGGGGCTATCCTACGCCGCAAGATCCGGCTCCCAAAGAGCTTGTCTGTGGAGCATTCGCAAGCTCTCATCCAGATTGCGTGGTGCCTGGTCATCGTTTATTATACAGACGCTGAAGACGTTGTCATTGGGCTGCTGAGCCTGCCGGGACAAAGGGGCGGCCAAGATGATGGCACAGCGTCCCGAGACTCGGAAGAGCGCACGCGGGGAGGGCGGGCGCCGGCATCGATGCCGTTCCGTTTCCACATGCAGCCCCAACAGCCCATCATTGCGTGTCTCGATGCGGTTTTGCGCCATGATCAGGACCTTGCACGGCATCCGTTTGGGACGGACGACCTTGCCAGACTCGGTCCGGATCTGGCTGATGCCACCAACTTTGGCAACCAACTCATCATTCACGGCGAGGCCAACGCTGACGCCAACGCCGCCGACACGGACATGGAGATTCCCTTGGACCGGGCCATCAACTTGGAGTGCACTTTGGCACGGACGGGGGTCACTACCCAGGTTGTTTACGACGACGCCATCATCAGTCGCACAGAGATGCAGTGTGTTCTCACCACGTTTGCGCACCTATTGCAGCAACTCGCTGATCCCGCCAGCCTCGATCCTGCCAGCAACAGGAGGCTAGGAGATCTCAACCCCGCAAGTCCGGATGACGTTGCCCGGGTCGCCGACTGGAACGAACATGTCCCTTCGCCAGTTAACGACTGCATGCATCACATGGTTGAGCGGATGGCACAGCAGAGGCCGCTCGCTGAAGCCGTTTGCGCACACGGGCTGGGGGTGTCTCTTTCCTATCAGCAGCTGGACATCATGGCTGACAAGCTTGCCCACCACCTTGTGGCAAAGGGGGCGGGGCCGGGGCACATCGTTCCATTCATGTTCGAGAAGAGCCCATGGGTCATCCCGTCTTTGCTGGCCATCAACAAGGCCGGAGCAGCGTTTGCACCGCTCGACCCAGCCCATGACTGGCAAGATACCCAGGGCCTTCTCCAGGCTTGCGAGGGCACTTTCGTTCTCTGCTCTCCTACGCACCAACACCGATTTGCCGAGCACGGCGTGGACGCCGTGGTTGTCGAGCCAGCCCTGTTCGACAGCCTCCCGACTCTCGGCCGCGTCTCAGAAGTCTCAGATCACCAAGTAGTCCGTCCCGCACATCCAGGTTATGTCATCTTCACGAGTGGTTCCAGCGGGACACCAAAGGGCGTCGTTTGCGGCCACAGCGCCTGGTGCACCAACACGGCTGCTCACGGCCCTCGCGAGTTCCACAGCACCGAGACCCGTCTGCTCCAATTCTCGGCCTACACCTTCGATATCAGCATCACAGACATCTTCACCACCCTGGCCTTTGGCGGCACCGTGTGTGTCCCGACAGAGCACGAGAGGCTCAGCGACATAGCAGGAGCCATCAACCGAATGCGCGTGAACCACGCGGCTCTGACCCCTACCGTGGCTCGGTTCCTCCGCCCAAAGGCGGTGCCCACGCTCAAGGTGCTGGTCACGGGCGGAGAGGAGATGCCCGAGGAAATCATGTCGCTATGGGCCGGCGTGTGCCGCCTCGTCAACTCGTACGGGCCTGCCGAGTGCACAAGCCGCGTCGCGTGCTCGCTCAAGTCAGCCGGTGACACGCCGAGTAACATTGGCACAAGGATGGGCGCGGCACTGTGGGTCACGCGCAGCGACGACCCGACCTGCGTGGTACCTATCGGTGCGGTGGGAGAGTTGCTCGTCGAAGGGAACATCCTGGGCAATGGATACCTAAAGGACGACGAGAAGACCAGGGCCGCCTTCATCGATGCCCCCGAGTGGCTCAGGGGAATGTATCCCGAGCAAGAGGCTCGCAACACGCGGGTGTACCGCACTGGCGACCTTGTGCGACAGATGCCTGACGGTTCCTTTGTCTTTGTTGGCAGACGCGACGCCCAGATCAAGGTCCACGGTGTCCGGGTTGAGGCCGGGCACATCGAGGCCAAGATCAAGCGGGAGCTGCCCGAGGATGCAAGGCTCGTCGTCGACAAGGTCAACATTGCGGAAAAGCAGTCACTCGCCGCCTTCATCAAGCTTCCCAACTCCGTGACGCCAGAGAACGGGGCGGATATGCAATTGCTCCCGGTCGACGATGCGATTCGCGAGTTTGTCTACAACCTTCGCAGGACGCTCCTAGCCGCGTTGCCATCCTATATGGTGCCTAGTCACCTCCTCGTGGTCAACACCATCCCGCTTGGCGTTACTGGTAAGGTCAACAAGCGGGCAGTGCAAACATTTGTCCGGAATCTGTCGGCCGAGCAGCTTAACCAGTTCACCGGCTCCGCCAGCCCCGCTGCGGCATCCAACGGGACAGTCGAGAAACCATACACGGAGGCGGAAGCCGCCTTGAGCAAACTCTGGGCAGAGGTTCTCGGTGTTGACCCGGCCTCCATCGGCAGGCAAGACACCTTCCTTGGCCTCGGCGGGGACTCTGTCTTGTGCATGAAGCTGGTCTCGGAAGCCGCGACGACAGCTGGCCTGCGCTTCTCGGTGGCCGATATCTTTCAGTACTCCACATTGGCAGAGCTTGGTCAATTTGTCAGTGACGGATCTGGAAAGAGCAAACCTGGAGCGGCCCCACCATCCTTCGTGCCAGAGCCCACGGAACCCTTTGAGCTGGTCGGGGGGCTGCCCAGCTTCCTCCAACTCCGCGGAGAGCTCCGAAAGACATACAAGCTTGCGGCAAACAGAGTTGAAGATGTCCTCCCTGCGACTCCCATGCAAGAAGGCATGATGGCCGAGACCGTCGCCCATCCCGAGGCTTACATCCTCCAAGAAGTCCTCCAACTCTCCAGGGACGTCGACACGGACAGGCTCCAGGATGCGCTAGAGACCCTTGTCGAGGCATATCCCATTCTGCGGACGTGCATCGTGCGTCTTAAAGACCATGGGACTTGTCAAGTGGTCCTTTCCGACAGCGAGCCGGTCGAAGTGGGTTTCTTCTCGGACGATTTGCACGCATTTTTAGCCCGAGACAAAAAGCAACACATGGGCTATGGGGAACAACTGAGCCGCTTCGCCATCATCTCCGACCCGGCCGGTGAGCAGGAGCGTTATTTGGTGTGGACAAGCCACCATGCCATCACCGACGGACATATGCACCGGCTCGTGCTGCAGAGCCTGGAACGAGCATACAACGACGATGCGTTGGGCATCCCGGAAATCCCGGCAGCCATCGGGTTCAGCCAGTTCGTCAAGTACTGCGTGGACCCGGACAAAAAGGCGGCATCTCTGGACCATTGGCGGAAGGAGTTTGCTGGATTTGATGGCAATGGCAGCCATTACCCCAGTTGTCCAGACACGTACGAGCCGTCCATCGACAAGTACGTGTCCCATCACACCCCGTTGTCCTTGGAGTCGACACCTTCGTCACGTTCGTCTGTCACGCCGGCGGTTCTGCTCCGCGCGTCGTGGATGATGGTGCTCTCGCAAGCCAACAATTCAAGCGAAGTGGTCATGGGCGTGACCCAGTCAGGGCGCGATATTGACCTCCCGGGAGTCCATGAGTGCATTGGGCCCTGCCTGGCCACGATGCCAATCCGCACAGGGATCGACGGCATCGACGGCACGGACTCCACCGAAGTCGCATCCTTGTCGCAATACCTGACCAAGGTGCAGCGGCAGTACGTCGATGCGATCCCCCATCAGCACGTTGGCCTGCAGCACATACGCAAGGCCAGTGACGAGTGTGCCAATGCGGTGGGCTTCCGGAATCTTCTCGTCGTCCAGCCCTCGTCCGCCAACGATTCGAAACTTGTCACGGCCGTCGTCGAGGCTCGCAATGCCGGGGACCAGCTCAACTTTGGACTGCTCCTCGAGTGCACCCTGTCGGCCGAGGGAGTCAACATCCGAGCTGGATTTGACAGCTCGCTCTTGTCGGAAAACGAGGTCGTCTTGTTGATGCAGCGCCTCGAACACGTCCACCGCCAGCTGGGCAAAGCCGAGAACGGGGCGCTTCCACTGTCCAGCCTGGACATGGTGAGCCCTCTTGATCTACGCTTGCTCGAGAGCTTCAACCCCGACGTTCCTCCGTCGGACAGCTGCTTGCACTGGATGATTGAGGAACAAGCGCGCCGGCAGCCCGATGCTCTGATGGTGGACGCCTGGGATGCTCGTCTGACCTACCGCGAGGCCAACGAGTACTCTGACCGGCTTGCTGGAGTGCTTGTGGATCTCGGCGTCGGCCCTGAGGTCATGGTTCCCTTTGCTTTTGAGAAGAGCGCGTGGGCGACGGTCGCAATCCACGCCATCCTCAAGGCAGGGGGTGCCTGTGTTGGTGTTGATATGGCTCACCCCCGCGAGCGGCACCAGCGGATCATGGTCGATACCGAAGCCCGTGTCGTCATCGCATCCACGGCGTACGCCAGCAGCCTTGAGGGTCTTGGAGTGCAGCACATTGTGGCTGTCGACCGCCACATGTTGGACGAGTTGCCGCCCTTGACGTCTCGACAGCCAGCGAGCACCGCAGAGAGCACCGCAGTCATCCCGGTCCCGGTCTCGCCGAGCAACGCTGCCTGGGTCGTCTACTCGTCTGGCTCTACCGGCGTACCAAAAGGAAGTGTTCTCGAGCACCGGTCCCTGTGTTCCACGTCGCGAACCAACTCGGAGGTCCTGGGCGTCGGACCGTCCACGCGAGCGATACACTTTGCCAGCTACGCATTCGACGTGGCCATTGAGGAGAACGTCATCATCCCCATGTACGGAGGCTGCGTTTGCATTCCCTCGGACGAGCAGCGCCTCAGCAACCTGCCGGGGGTCATGCAGAGCATGGAGATCAACTGGGCCGATCTCACCCCGACCGTGGCCCGCCTCTTGTCCCCTGAAAACGCACCGTTCCTGCGCACCCTCGTACTCGGGGGCGAGTCGCTGACAAAGGACATCATCGACACCTGGGCGGGCCTCGACAACATCCGGCTGTTCAACACATACGGACCCTCCGAGTGCTCGATCCAATGCACCTCGAGCAAGGCCCTTGCCCGCGTCGCCACGGGCGCCAACATAGGACAGCCAGTGAACTGCAAACTGTGGGTTGTTGATGCCGATGATCCGCGTCGTCTACTTCCCGTCGGCGCCACAGGGGAGCTGCTGATTGAAGGCCCCATCGTCGGCCGTGGATATCTCAACCAGCCTGCCAAAACAGCGGCGGCTTTTATCCAAGGGTTGCCCTGGGCTACCACCAATACTAACGCGGACGGCCCCTCCAGACGGTTCTACCGCACCGGCGACCTGGCCAAGTTCAACCATGACGGCACTCTGGACTGCCTAGGCAGGCAAGACAGCCAGATCAAACTACATGGCCAACGCATCGAGCTCGGGGAAATCGAGTACAACATCACCAAACGACTGTCCGTCCCTGACGCCTCCCAGGTCGCCGTCGAGGCCTTCACCCCCGGTGGACTCCCACCGTCGTCTAGCCGCAACCTGCTGGCCGCCTTTATCCAATTCTCCGACACCGACAGTTCCCATACCGCCAGCAGCTCTTCGGGGTTCAGCTCCTCGGGGTTGGCTGTCATGGATATGAACGAGGCCCTGAGAAAGGAACTGCTCCGTATCAAGTCCGAGGCGTCTCAGCACCTCCCCGTGTACATGATCCCGAGCCTGCTTATTCCCTTGCACCGGATGCCCACGAACACGTCGGGCAAGATCGATCGCAAGAGGCTCCGGGAAGAGGCCGGCAAGTTTGACCAGCGGCGCCTAGCGCTGTATTCACTCTCCGAAACTGCTGCTCAAGCTGGGACAGCCCGGACGGGCGAGGGGCGGGAGGCCAAGGCTTCCTTTTCTTCCCCATCCGAGCGCGCGCTTGCCGTTCTGTGGGCCGAGACGATTGGGATTGACTTGGATGAAAATCCCATTGGGCCCGACGACAGCTTCCTGGAACTAGGAGGCGATAGCATCACGGCCATGCAGCTAGTCGGCAAGGCCGCGGCGTCTGGGCTCGGATTGTCCGTACCCCGCATCTTGAAGGCGCCCAAGCTAAGGGACATGGCGGCCGCCGCCGTGATTTCAGACGAGAGAGCGCTGCTGGCACTTTCTCCCCCTGTTTCTCCCCCTGTTTCTCCCCCTGTTTCGCCTCCTCTTCCCACTACTAACGCCTTGGCCAAGTTGCCATTGACCATCCAACCCGTTACAAACACGGCAACGCAGTTAGAGCCGACATCCGAACCGACATCTCCTTGGATGACACCTCCAGAGACGCCAACGCCACTCTCAGAGATCCCGTTCTCACTCTCAGCGACGCCATTCTCTGAGACACCATTTTCTGAGAGGCCATTTTTTGAGCAGGCTTATTTCCCGTTCCAGCTAGTCTCCGGCAAGGACCAAAAGGTGTCTGTGGCTGATATTGTGGCGCTGGCGGCCAAGGCGTGCGATCTGGACCGCGACCTTGTCCAAGACATATACCCGGCCACGCCTCTGCAAGGTGCGTACTGCCTGTTGGCTGTCTTACCAGTCGTGACAGCCCCGCTAGACCAGTAGAAGACGATGCTAACAGGTCCCATTCCGCAACTTCCAGAGGGTATGATGGCGCTCACCGCAGACAAGGCAGACTCGTACGTCCTGCGAGACGTGTACGAGCTGCCCGACGAGGTTGCAGTAGAAAGGTTCACAGCAGCATGGGATGCCGTCGCACGGGACAATCCCATCCTGAGAACTCGTCTGGTCTTCATCCAAGGACTCGGCACCTGCCAGGTCGTTGTTGACGAGAAGATCCCCTGGCACCAGGGTAATAACCTGGATGAGTATCTCAGCAAGGACAGAAGCAGTCCCCTGAATTACGGCACCTCCCTTGCTCGGTTTGCCATTATCGACGACGGCAAGCGCAAGTTCTTCCTTTGGACAGTCCACCACGCTCTCTACGATGGCTACTCCATGGACATGACCCTTGCTGCCGTCGACCACGCTTACCAGAGCCAGACTAATCTCGCCGTCCCTGGCGTGCTCGGCGTCCTCGACAGAGTCCACACCCGGCCGTTTGCAGAGTTCATGGGCTATCTCGGCAAGATTGACAAGGAGACCCTGAAACAGTTCTGGACGCATCAGCTCAAGGACCTCGAGACATGTCCCTTTCCCGCGTCGCCACCGGGCCATCGATGTCAGGCGGACAATACTGTTATGTACTCGATCCCGTTCTCACTCAATCGCAAGACCGGCATTACCATGGCCACGCTCCTTAAGGCAGCCTGGGGTATCTTGGTCTCGAGGCTGTCTGAGTCTCATGATGTGGTCTATGGCGTCACCCAGTCTGGCCGGGATCTGGAATTGGCGGGCATTGAGCGCATCAACGGGCCTACTATCACAACGGTCAGTTTTTGTTTTTTTCTTTTTTTTCTTTTTACTTTTTTTAGTAATTAGCCGAATACCCCGTCAAACGAACCGCTTAGACTGACTCTTATCCATCACAGGTTCCACTAAGGATGAAGATCGACGGACAGAGATTTGTGCGGGAGTTTTTGAAGCAACTGCAGACGCAAACCGTCGACATGATTCCTTTCTCCCATGTGGGGATCCAGAACATCAAGAACATGAGTGGCGATGCGACACACGCGGCCTGCGACTTCCAAAATCTCCTGGTTATCCAGCCCGGCGAGGATGAACAAGAATCGGCATTGTTCAAGAAGCATACGTCAGCCACCACAGCCAATTACCTTGGCGGTTACGGGCTTGTCGTCGAGTGTGCGCTCGAAAGCGGCGAAATTGTCTTCTCGGCGCACCACGATTCCAGCGTCATCTCCTCTCCCCAGCTGGAGAGGGTCCTGCGACAACTGGAACACCTCCTGCATCAGCTCCAGGCGCATAGCACCGACAAGGGGACCGGCCGCATTCGGGACTTGGACATGTTTTCGCCGGCAGACCGCGCGGACCTAGTGGCGTGGAACAGCAATTTCCCCAAGGTTATCAACGAGTGTATCCACGATATCATTTCTCGAAACGCCGCGGCCGCGCCTTCGAGTGTGGCTATCGCTTCGAGCGACGGCGGGAACATCACCCGCCAAGAGCTAGAGGAGCTCAGCAACCACCTCGCCCACCAACTGCGCGATCTCGGGGTCGGCCCAGAGGTGCTTGTCCCCATTTGCATCGAAAAGTCACCCGAGGCCATCATCGCCATGCTCGCCATCCAAAAGGCCGGCGGAGGCTTCGTCCCGCTGAACCCCACGGACCCCAAGGACCGGCTGCTCGACCTTTTGGACCAGGTCGCAGCGACCGTGGTGATATTTTCGGAGCACACTGAGCACCTCTGCTCTGACTTGGTGTCCTCGGACGACGATGCAAACAACAATAATAACATATCGCCCGTTGTGCTGCCCAAGACGTTAGCGCAATGGGCCCCGTTAAAGACGGAGCCCGTCACGTCGTCGGGGATTAAACCATCCAACCTGGCGTATGCCTTGTTCACCAGCGGAAGCACGGGCAGGCCAAAGGCAGTCATGATCGAGCACGTCGCCGTCAGCTCCAGCACGTATGGCCACGGCATGGCCATGGGATTTGCCGACTTCCCACGTCGGACGGTTCAGTTCGCAAGCTACACCTTTGACGCCTGCATCGCCGAGATCTTCACGGCACTACATTTTGGCGGCTGTATCTGCGTCCCCACCGAGCACGAGCGTAGGAACGACTTGTCCAGGTTCATCCGGGACATGCAATGCGACTGGGCCTTCTTCACACCGTCGTTTGTGCGGCTGCTACAGCCCGACGATATCCCGTCCATGAAGACGGTGGTGCTGGGCGGCGAAGCACTCAACCAAGAGTGCATTGACGTGTGGGCTGACAAGGTGCACCTGATGAACGGATATGGTCCGACCGAGACATGCGTCTTTACCGTGACCCGCACTATGGCTGGCACTATGACTGGCCCCGGCGCTCGGCCCGAGACGATCGGCCATCCGGTCAGTTCTATTGGGTGGGTTGTCGACCCCAACGACCATCACCGCTTGACACCCGTCGGTTGTGTCGGCGAGCTGTTGATCCAGGGGCCTAACGTGGCTCGCGGCTATCTGGCCAATCCCGAAAAGACGGCCGAGTCGTTCGTCCAGAGCCCCAAATGGATGCGGGCATTTGGCCACACGAACACGGCGCAGCTCTTGTACAAGACGGGTGATTTGGTGCGGCAGGATGCCGAAGACGGCTCGTTGACGTATCTCGGGCGCAAGGACAATCAGACCAAGGTCAACGGGCAGCGGTTGGAGCTCGGTAAGCAACCCTAACCATAGCCCCCACGTCCGGATTTCCACTAACATCAGCCAGGTGAAATCGAGACTCAACTTAGGACCCGGGGCGACAAGGTCGAATCCGCCGTGGTTCTGGCGACCAAGGCAAAGACTCAGCAAAAGCTTGCCGCATTTGTCCAGTTCTCATTGGAGTCCAACATGGAGCAAGACAGAGACACAGTGATGATGGAGGTCGATGATGCCATGGTAGGCCGCCTGCAGCAGCTGGAGAGCACTGCGCGCGCCGCTCTGCCCAGCTACATGGTGCCTTCACTGTGGATTCCCGTCACGAACATGCCGACCCTTGACGCCAGCGGCAAGACGGACCGCAAGACGCTGGCCAGTTTGCTCGGCAACTTGACGCCCGCCCAGACCACCATGTACTCGCTTGGCACGACGACTCAAGAACAAGATTCGGCAGGCCAACAAGAGGCCGAGACGGGTTTGGAAAAGACGCTGGTCGAACTCGTTGCCCGTATCCTAGGCCTGCGCGCCGAAGATATCGGGCGACATGACAGCTTCTTCCGGCTTGGCGGGGATTCCATCACGGCCATCCAACTTGTGGCTTCTGCAAGGGCCGCCGGCATAACCCTTTCCTCGGAGGCCATCTTCCGCCGGCCAAGCATATGCGACATGGCCATGTCCGCCGAGCTGGCCCGAGGCGGCGCTCTTGGTAACCCTAACTCTAAGATCGACCCCTATTCCCTGGTGCCAGTCGGCAAACGCACCGAACTCCTCAATGCAGTCGAGCGCAAGTACGGGATTGAGAAGTCGTCTGTCGCTGACTTGCTACCCTGCTCTCCTCTCCAAGAAGGCCTGATCTCCCTGACTATCCAAGACCCTGAGGCGTATGTGCTTCGGGAGATCTACCGCCTGCCGACCAAGATGGACATGGACCGCTTCAAGTCGGCCTGGGAATCGGTGGTCAAGGACGCCGAGGTTCTCCGCACGCGCATCGTCCACTTGGACGAAAACGGCTGCTATCAGGTTGTCATGAACCAGGACGGGATTCCGTGGCACAACGCAAGCAAAGTGCAGGAGTACATCGACCACGACAAGGCGCAGCTATTTGAGTACGGTGCGCCCTTGGCGCGCTTTGCCCTCGTCGAAACCGAGAACACGGGGTGTTACTTCGTCTGGAGCATACACCACGCCCTGTACGATGGGTGGTCCAAGACGCTCATCATGAAGCACGTCCAAGAGGCGTATAACCTGGAAATCTCGCCTGAGCCGCCTCAGCCTTCTCAGCCTGCTCCCGCGACGAATCCCACGCTCGCGCCCTACAACCGCTTCATCGAATACCTGCAGCGAACCAACCCGAGCGACTCCCACAAGTTCTGGAAAGCGCAGTTTGACGGTCTCGAGGCCCAGCCTTTCCCCCGCCCCCCGTCGGCTTCGTTCAAGCCCATCCTCGACGGCACCCTGACCATCAAGATCCCGTGGGCCCGGACAACGGCAGCAAGCCAGTGGACCACGGCCACCGTCCTCAAGGCCGCCTGGGCTCTGGTCCTCTCTCGGCACACGGGAGCGCCCGATGCGCTCTTCGGTGCCGTGCAAAGCGGCCGCAACGTGCCCATCCCGGGCATCTCAGACATGATCGGCCCAACCATCACCACCGTGCCGATGCGGATCCGGGTGCAGGGTGAGATGCCGCTGGCCACCTTTCTCAAGACGCTGCAGGATCAGGGCACCGACATGATGCGCCACGAGCACCTGGGGCTTCAGAATATTTCCAAGATCAGCGCCGAGTGTCGCGAGGCCTGCGCTTTTACCAACATCATGGTCATCCAGCCCGGGCAGCAAGGAGGCCAGGCGGAATCGGAGCTGGACCTCATGGGCGCGACGCGTATCGAGGACCAGGATAAGGGATTCCTGCGGTTCAACCTGGGCTTGGAGTGCGCACTCGAGAACGACGCCATTTCGGTCACCGGGGGGTACGATCGACGCTTGCTGTCCGGAGCCCAGATGCGCCGGCTGCTCCGGCAGTTTGAGACAGCCATCCTCGACATCAACGACAAGAATAACGAGGAGGGCGAGAAGGGCGCTTTGGTCCGGGACATCAACCTCGTCAGCGCTGATGATCTGGCCGAGATGGCCGAGATGGCCAAGATGAACGAGACGCCATCCGACGACGACGACGACATTCAGAACATTCAGGAGTGTACCCACGACGTGATCCACCGCGTGGCCATGGAGCGCGGTGGTGCCATGGCGGTCAATGCCTGGGACGTCGACTTCCAATACATCGAGCTGGACCAGCTGTCGACCAAGCTGGCGTACCATTTGAGGTCGCTGGGCGTGGGCCCCGAGTCGGTGGTCCCGCTGTGCTTTGAGAAGTCGGGATGGGCCGTCGTGGCTGTTTTGGGCGTGCTCAAGGCCGGCGCAGCGTTCGTGTTCCTCGACCCGGGTTATCCGATGGCCCGTCTGAGCGGCATCGTCAGACAGGTCAACGCTAGCGTCATCCTCGCTTCTCTGGGCCAGGCACCGCTCTGGCGTGGCTCCCACATTCCCGTCGTGGTCATTGACAATGTGTCAATCGAATTGCTGCCCTCTTCCATCTCCGGCGAGATCGATTCCGGCGTCAAGCCGTCCAACGCCGTGTACCTCATCTTCACCAGCGGATCGACGGGCGAGCCCAAAGGGTGCGTCATCGAGCACCACAGCTTCCTCACGTGTGCCAGGGCGCAGGCTTCCCGCACGCACATGACGCGCAGCAGCCGGGTCCTCCAGGGTGCCTCGTATTCTTTCGATGTCAGCGTCATGGAGATGCTGACAGCCCTGATGGTGGGCGCCTGCGTCTGTGTGCCCAACGACAGCATCCGGAAGCGCAGTGCCGTGGATGTCATCAACGACTTCCGCATCACCTGGACCTTCTTGACCCCGTCCATCGTCAAGTTCATCAAGCCAGCCGACATCCCGCACCTCAAGACGTTGGTCCTGGGTGGCGAAGCCCTGACGAGACAGAACATTCGGACGTGGGCGGGACACCTGCGACTCATCAACGGCTACGGGCCGAGCGAATGCACGATCGCAGCGGCGGTCCACGTCATCACCCATGCCGAGGACGACCCGGCCAACATCGGAAAGGCGCTCGGGGGCCTATGCTGGATCACGGACCCGGACGACCACAACAAATTGGCGCCGCTTGGTACCATAGGAGAGCTCGTAGTGGAGGGCAACATTGTGGCGCGCGGCTATCTAAACAAGCCTGAAAAGACGGCCGAGGTTTTCATCGAGAACCCAGCGTGGGTGGAACAACTGCCACTGCCGGACGGCCGTGGTAGTGGTACGCGAAGAGTGTACAAGACCGGCGATCTTGCTTACTTCAGCACGGATGGCGATATCATGTTCATGGGCCGGAAAGACGCGCAAGTCAAAGTCAGAGGCCAACGCATGGAACTGGGGGAAATCGAAACCCACCTGACGCGCGACAAGAAAATCCAGCACGCCATGGTCGCGTATCCAGCATCCGGCCCATGCAAGCGGCAGCTCGTCGGCATCCTCTCGTTTGAGCGCCTCGGCGCCACGACTAACTCCAGCGGCGAGGTCGTGCTGGTCGACCCGACGCTGGCGGTCGCCGAGAACGTCACGGCCGAGGTGGCCGAAATGGCCCGGCATCTCTCAACACAAATCCCCTCGTACATGATGCCCGAGATCTGGGTCGTCGTGCAGAGCTTCCCGCTCCTCCTCTCGGGCAAGCTCAACCGCAAGCGCGTCGACCAGTGGCTGGCGTCGTTGGACAAGGCCACCCACCAGAGAATCTGCGGCATTGGCGCCAGCTTCCGCGTTCAGCAGCCGTCCACGCAGGCCGAGCAGCTGATCCACAAAGTCTGGGTCGACATCTTGAAGCTGCCGGCCGACGAGGTGGGCGTCACGCAGGAATTCACCACGCTGGGCGGCGACAGCATCCTGGCCATGCTCGTCGTGGCCAAACTGAAAGCGCTCGCTCTCCGCGTCACCATGACCGACGTGGTCAGCGCACGGACTATTGCCGGGCTCGCGGCGCGGATCACGCGGATTGGTGGCGACAAGCTCGGTGCCATAACCCTAACCCCCTCTGCGCATGCGCAGGTCCCCGAAGAGACCGGCGAGTTGTTCGATCTGTCGCCCATGCAGCAATTCTATGCCAACTTCGCCCTGAAGGATGATTACCTGTCCCAGCAGACCAACAAGAACTTCAACCACACCTTCTGTCTCGCGGTGAAGCAGCCCCCACTCTCGGCTGAGGCTGTCCGCGGCGCGTTTGAGGCCCTGGTCAAGCGCCATGGCATGCTCCGTGCTCGGTTCCAGCGCGATGCGGCAGCCGCCTGCGGTTGGCGGCAGTATATCTCCGCCGATGCAGCCGGCTCCTTCCGCTTCCGCAACTGGGAGAATGTCACGGTCAAGAAGATCAAACCCGCTCTCGAAGAAGCCCGGCAGGGCCTGGACATCGAGACAGGCCCGCTCATGGCGGTCGATCTGGTGACGGTGAGCAAAGACAAAGACGGCGAACAGTACTTGATGATCGTCGCCCACCATCTCGTCGTCGACCTCGTCTCCTGGAACACCATCCTCGGCGACCTCGAAGCCTACCTCCGGACCCAGTCGTTCGCCAGTGAAGCACCATACCCCTTCTCGGCCTGGGCCAGGGAGCAGCAGCAGTACGCCATCCAGAACTTCCCGCCATCCAAAGCCCTGCCCAGGCTCGTCCCGTCCGCCGACTACAATTACTGGGGCATGGAGGACCGCGCCTGCATCGCGCGCGACGCTGCGCACTACACGGTATCGCTCTCGAAGCGCGACACCACCACGCTGCTCACGACCTGCAACAGGGTGTACGGCGCCGAGCCCATGGACGTGCTGTGCTCATCGCTGGCTCACTCGTTCCGCTACGTCTTTCGTGACCGGCCGCCGCCGACCGTGTTCCGGTACGGCCACGGGCGCGAGCAGCTCAACAACAACCAGGCCGGCGACCCGTCCTCGGGCACTGTCGGCTGGTTCACAACACTATCACCAATCCAGGTATCCGTGCCCAAGCGCAAAGATGACAGCATCTCGGTCCTGCAGCGCACCATCGAAGCCCGCGAGTCGTTGCCCGTCAACGGCCTGGCCTTCTTCGCCTCGCGCTACCACCACCCGGCCGGACCCAGCGCGTTCGGCGCCCTCGACCTCATGGAGGTCAGCGTCAACTACCTCGGCGTCTCCGACAACCAGCAGCGGGGCGGCAGCAGCAGCAGCGCATCATCGCTTTTCGACATGAGCAACGCCATCCATGGCGGCCTAGGCGCCGACGAGCACGAGGTCAAAGCCTTTTCGCTCTTCTCCATTTCCGCTGAGGTTAAAGACGGTAAATTCACCATCCAGTGTTCGTGGAGCAAGAAGTCGCGGCGCCAGACTTCGATTCGGGAATGGTTTTACGAGTATGGGAATGCCCTGAAGGACGTTGCCCACCAGGTTAGGAAACGCACCAAGGATGAGCGTAAGCCTGGTAAATGGGATTGATCAGGTCGGGTGTTGACGAGATTCACGAGACTGTACGGATGGACTGGTCTGGGGTTCTGGGAGTTTTTTTTTTTTTTCTTATATATGGCATGTTCTTTCTTCATGTCGTTCACTTTTATGCTGTTCACTTTATGCTGTTCACCATTGGGTTTTGGATTTAAGTAGGGAGAAAAAGGGGCGTAAAGTTCATGCCGGATTCGGAGTTTAGACTGAGTAGTGATTAAGTGGTATTATATACATCATTGTTAACTAGATTTCTCTGTTTATGGGCCGGTCAAAACTCCTCTCATTCCACTTACAAACTTGTCAAGTTGATTATAATTACCCTGTTGCTACCACTTGTATTGGTAATTACATGACTTTTCGTTTCACTTTGTAACAAGGGACTGCATTACCCTCTGCCGGAGGAGCCGCACGATATGTTTGTGCATCCTGAACGTCACCTTTCAGCCGCGATGTTTTTCGCTTGGGTCTTGGGGAAAACGGAGATGGGTTGGGCAATGGCCAGGCGAGAAACCCTGGTGCAAGTCCCCTGTCATGCTGCTTCGATAGGGTTAGGGTTAATCATTGCCGAAACATAACATGACGCTGATTTGGACCAAGTACCTAATTAATTAGAAACCTGTTCCCAAAAGCCTCCACCGGCAGATTTTGGGACCGAATCAACACGCAAACCAATTAGACATTCCTGGTCTCTTACCAGTTAACTTTTCCAAGGGCTTATGGGCCAACCTGTGTCTTGTGCGGCTTTACGGGATATTACAGCGAACCAGACATTTCTCGGCGCTTACTGTGCACTACCAACCACGTCTTACTATGTTCATATGTTGCCTGCCAAGCTGCGGTGCGCCCCCAAACGAGCTGACGTCTTGGCACGCTCCAACATAATCCACAGGTCGAAACACTGTTCTTTCGAACCTAGATTCTTGAATTTAGGTCTGCTGCAGCTCATTTGGACCTCACGATGACAATGCAAAAGGGGTGTGGGGGTGAGCAGTGCGGGTAATCAATTTATGTGCCAGAGGTTAATACTTATAGAAGAACACTGGGACAGTAAGCAGGGCAGTTTTGGCAACCTCGTGCTAGCTGACTTAGCTGGCTACCCGACTGCTTACTATTTGTGTTGTTTGACAGTAACATTGTGAGCATGTTACTGTATCATGGAACGCCTCTCTGCTTCATTCAGCTCATGCCCAACGTCTGCAGTCTCGTCCGCCTCAGCAGTGTTAGCTGTGGAATCTCTGCCCTGATAATCAATTTACCATTCAAGAATCTTGATGTTTCGGTCTTAAATGAACAGGACCCACCCGACAAAGTCCGACGTTTGTGTTTAGACTTTAGACGCACTCACCAATTGCCCAGACGCCATGTCCTCCTTCATGTATCTGACCCCGCTTGATCTGGGGCTCTCCCGGGTCAATCTGAGCCCAACAACGACAACTCTCCTAGTCTCCATCCTGGGCCTCAGCCTCTGGCGCCTCTATGTCGCCCTACTTCCCAAGCCCATCGCCGGTATCCCCTACAATCATGCGTCCGCCCGCTCACTCCTCGGCGATATCCCCGGCTTCATGCTCGCGGCATGGCGCACCCGCGAGCCCATCACCTGGCTCTTATCGCAGGCACGCGCCACGGGGTCTCCCATCTCGCAGATCTTTCTCGCCCCGTTCGGCGGCCGGCCCTTTGTGACGATCACTGACTTCCGCGAGACCCAAGACATCCTCGTCCGCCGCGGCAAGGAGTTCGACCGATCCTCGGTCCTGACCGACACCCTGGGCGTGGCGCTACCGCACCACCACATCGTGCGCAAGACGGACGCCGTCTGGCGCTCGCAGAGACGGTTGCTGCAGGATCTGATGCTGCCCAAGTTCCTGCACGGCATCGCGGCGCCCAACATCTACGCGAGCGTGGACCAGCTGGTGCAGCTGTGGGGGTCCAAGACGGAGATTGCGAGCGGGAGGCCGTTCAGTCCCGAGCGGGATATCTACTATGCCGCGCTGGATGCTGTACTGGAGTTTGGCTTCGGGCGCAACTTTACCCACCGAGCAACGCAGCCGCAGCTGGACGCCATGTTGAAGTTGGGTCCGGAGGAGGTGCAGAAGCTGCGGGGAGAAGAGGCCGGCAGCGCAGATACGCCAGTGGAGTTTGTGAACGCGCCACTGCACGAGACCATAGTTGCAATCTTGGATTCGGGAGACATCGTCGAGGCGCTTCAATCCTCGCCGTTCCCTCGCCTAGGGTTGTGGTTCCAAAAAACGTTCACGAATTTTAACAAGACCTGGAATACCAAGAATCAGTTCCTTGAGGATGAAATTCGAAAGGCTGTGGACCGCATGGAGAAGCAGGACGGTGAAGCCAGCGACGAGAGTTGGGTCATGTCGGCCGTCGACCACATCGTCCACCGAGAACGAGGGTTTGCCGAGAAGGAAGGGCGAAAGGCTGATTACTGGACACCCGTCATCAGGGACGAGGTAAGAGTGCTTTCCCCAAACTTTAAAAAGTAACAACATTTCTGACCACGAAACCACAAAACAGGTCTTCGGCTTCGTTATCGCCGGCCACGAAACCGTGAGCACCACCATGCTCTGGGGTCTGAAGCTCCTTGGCGACAACCAGGACGCACAGTCCACTCTTCGCATGGCCCTCCAATCCGCCCACAGCGCCGCCATGGCAGAGAAGCGCAATCCCTCGGCGATGGAGATTGCCCACACGAATATTCCCTATCTTGATGCCGCCATCGAGGAGATCCTGCGTTGCGGTCCCACCGTCCCCGGCGCCATGCGTGAGTGCATGGTGGACACTGTCATCCTCGGCCACCGGATCCCCAAGGGCACCCAAGTTTTCCTCTTCAACCAAGGCGCGTCCTTCAGGGAACCCACCCTTGCCGTTGACGAGAAAGACCGAAGCCCATCTTGCCAAGCCTCGGCAAAGGAGAGAGGCGTCAGGGAGTGGGATCCCGAGAACATGGACGCCTTCCGCCCGGAACGGTGGCTGGTTCAGGCTGACGGGTCCTCGGGTGAAAGAGACGGATTGGTCTTTGACTCGGCGGCCGGTCCGACTATGCCATTTAGTTTGGGCCTCAGGGCCTGCTGGGGGCGTCGGCTGGCTTACTTGGAGATGCGCATCATGGTGACTATGCTGGTCTGGAACTTCGAACTACTGCCGTGCCCACCGGAGCTGTCCGACTACGCGGCTGTAGATGCGATGACACATAAGCCGCAGCGGGCCTTTGTTAGGTTGCAGCCCGTCAAACACTAGTCTGAGGCCTTGTCATACAAGTTGAGCTGGAAGCGAGGCAATGTATTTTGATTAGGCGGTTCAATGTTCAGCTGTATATGTAATTGCCCGGCACGGATCCGGGAATCTCTCTGACATGCTTCTAACAATTCCCTCGCTAATTACCTAATCACCTAAGAACCTGAACCACGGATCTATGATATCCTCTACGCCGAATGCCACCGTTCCAGGCCAGGTACCAGGTGGTACGGTAGTACACAATAGTAGGTAGTTAGGGTCATCTTATGCTAAACTGAGTAGGGCAAGTCAGTATAAAGACGTAGGAGAGCAAACGGGTTTTGAAGTGTTCCCTCTTCACTGTTAAAATTGCGGGTAGAGTCGCCCTCGCCAAAGGTGACCCGGAAGGCCCTAAGTGATTTGCCCGAGCCATCCATGAGAACTGGAGCATCACTCAGCCAGGCTAGGCAATGCTGACGAGCGGTATATAATCATTCGTTCCTGCATCGCCGCCGTACTCCGCTCACCAGGGACCGAGAAAAAGGGCGGGTTGAGAAACGTAATCCAGGTCGCTCGCTGTATGAGTGGAAACTTCCCCGCTCTTTAAGCGAGGAGCTCGTTCCATACCTACCTTATGGTCCCCAAATCATCAACTTGACTGTGTTTAAGCCTACTGTCGATACCTTAAAGGTTAGGCTGCTCGATTTCGAGGGATCAGTAGTGTTGACCGGTTAATGAGCGCTTTACTGGATAAGTGGCTACCTAGAGGTAAGGCTTGTGGAAGGAAGTCCATTGTTAATGGCGTCTTGCTCTCTGGGTTGGGGCTTCCCAGCTTCTTTATTTTTCCGAGCCGCAACCCCACCACTCTGGGGCCAGAGAGGCATTTCCCCTCCATAAATTCAGCCAATATATATACCTGATGTGTCTCTTTGTGTAACACCGTATCTGCAAAGTGTGACGTGTAAGACCAAAGCTAAAAGCCTAGGGTTGAGCCAGCAAAGTAATACGCGACACAAGTACCTTACCTATATTAATTACCTGGTGTCAGCGTAGATAGTGACGGGCCTGACCCGCGTGCGGAACCGATGAAAACGACCAGCGCTGAGCGGTCCCCTGAACCGTGTTGTAATTAGCCAAACATGCAGTTAATACCATATCACCCCACATAACACCATGCGCAGTAATGGATCTGGACTGTCTGTGAGGCGCCGACGGAGAGTAGAAGACAACCCAAAACACCTGGTTGAGTCCACATCCAAGAGACTTTGAGCAGGTGCTTTTGTCACTTTTCATGGCCGTAGATGTACCCAGGCGCTGTTGACAGAGGCTATGACCCAATAATAAGCCTCTTTATTCCTCCATATATAAGGTGTCTCCGATGTATCCATGGATGGTCTAGATGGAAAACGCCTCACGCTTTGCTGGGAGACTGGCTTGGCCAACTGCCAGCTCTGGCCTGCGGCCCCGAAAGGCACGCTGACCGGGTGATAAAGTTCAAAGATGCAGGGTTATGATCTGACGGCGTCAACATCACTTTCTACCTGCCTAGGTCGATATAGTAATCTATAGTACAGCTCCATGCAAATTTGAACACCAACCTGTATACCAGGTAAGGTCTGTTCTTGCCCTCCCTCTATGCAGCGTGTCTGTATCCCCGCGTGCTACAGGGACTCGACGAGCTGACCCTCGGAGTGCCGAGGTATCCCAGAGCGAAGATTTCGCCGAGCTATAAAAGCCCACGGCGTCTCGCTCTCCAATACCAAATTAATGCTTGCATCTCAAGTCAAACCTCACCATCAACAAAAGAAAATGGTTCGAGCTGCTTTCACTACGTTCGTCTTGCTGGCCGTGTGCCGAGCGGTTGGCGCTTCTCCCACCACCGACACTACCTTTGTCACGTCCACCTTCTCCTTTGCCGAGTGGGTTGAGGGTATCATCGCTGATCCTCAGGGCAACCACCTTACCGCCAAACAAGCCATCGCAGCTTTCTATGCCGGCCGCAATAACACTGTTTTTTCCGGTATGTAGCCTGCCTGGCGTCGTGGAGTGATACATGTACACGCACACGCACCTATCCACCATCGACACAGGGTGGGACCAGTCACTGACAAGTCAGAAAACGTGAGACGCGGCCCTCTGTTGAAAAGAGCGTCATGCAACGAACAACCGAATACCGAGATTCCGGTCGGCGACGCGGTGAGCTGCATCAACTATCTGACGGCCAAGGGTCAGACGGCGTGCGTCGTCAATGACTATTCGAGATTATGTGAGAGTGGCCAGGCACTCATGGATGGGAATTCGGGGTCTCCCACATCCTCGGCTTGGTAAGAACTTCCCGGATAATATGCAATCCTACTTCTCCTATTAGTCTCTGCTTTGGTCACTAACTCGATGTAGCAATGACGTTGCTCGCGCTGGCGGCTTCATCATGGATCATTGCACCCGAGCCGACAACACAGTGGAGGGATCTGAGTATGCGTACGGGAACGGGAATCTGCTCGTGCGAATCCACAGGGCATAATCTGCGAAAGTAGATTCTAGGTAGACAGAGGGCAGATCTTGTTATTATCTGCCAAGCCATTGGTAGATGAGGTAATTATTTGAGAACCGCCTGAATTATTACAAACCCTGTCCCTCCCCTCGCCAGAATACGAACTGCCCCCTTTGGCGTATTATTTCTGAAAAGCCGTTTATTGCCGCAGGAAAACGGCCCTTAATTATACCATCTAATCTCAAAGTCCTACGCGCTGAGGGCCTCAAGTTCCGAGCCCAATCCTTGACTAGGAATGAACTAGCCACCGGTGCCCAAAACCCCCTCCCGCGACCCACCCCTAGTCAGGTATTGAGCAAGCTCATGGAACCCTTCACTCTGACTTTTCCTGCAGAAGAGGAGATCAACCGTCAAGAGATGCGCCGCAATCTTGACAACCGACTGGCCGTCGGCCTCCTCTTCCCGGCGCGCCTCGGTCCCGTCCCACGCCAGGTATGTGAGGTTGTCCCGGGGCAGAAAGCGGCCCGGGCGCCAGACGTTCCACAACACCGAGTTTAACGAGCATGAGCGCGGCCTCGAACACGTAGAAGACGGCCTCGTAGCGCGCCGATGTCAGTGAGGCCCACCGTGGTAATTATTGCCCGTGTGTTCCACCAGCCGGTGGATGCAGCGGAGCGGCATCAGCGCCATGCTCGCGTACAGCGTCGCCAGCATCGTGGTGACCGCCCTGGAGCGGACGCCGGCCCTCGCGCATCGGCGGTGGAGGAGGGCCGCGAGGGTGACGAAAATGAGAATGATGGCCAGCTGCATCGCGAGGGTGGCGATGGTGAGGTTGCCGGCGAGGGCTACCCCAAGTGCGTTCAGGAGCTCGACGAGCATCACTAGGCCGCCAAACGTAGTAAGCACTTTGCTATGAGGGAGTGGGGAAAGGTAGGGAACGTATTAGAAGATACGACCGAGGACGTAGTGGTTGGCCAGTTTTAGGAGTAGGCTGTAGTAGGACTGAGAATCATGTTACCAGCTGGGTTTTAAGGCTGAACTAGGTACTCTTATATATACTGTTCATGACTTACGGACAAAGGTAAGGAGCTAGCTATAACGTTACTTGCTGAAATCAGTTATATGCTAGTCCTTACTTAGTAGGTAGCTGCTTTCCACTCCTGCTTCTATTTGAAACTACTACGCTTCCACCAGCCCTAGGCTTTGCATGACCAATGGACCTTAAAGCTTTGAGTCACCCCCAGCGCTTTAAAGAATATTAGCCCCAATAATACACTGATTGTACCTCATCTGCCTTCTAGGCTGAAAATGACCTAGGCATATATTTATCCAAAGGTTCTTCTATAAACCTAATCTCGTCCCTCGGGAGATCAAGCCGTCGAAGTAAACGCGTGCAGGTCTCAAAGGAGGGCAAATCTCCTCTAACTGAATAGGTGCGAGATGTCCAGCTAATAATTAGTGGCTAGTTAGTCATCGAAAGTGTACCGAAATAGGTGCTTGAGAAAACTGACATCAGGATTCTTCCATCGTCGCTGGCCGAAGCAAAGAGATAAGGATCAACGGAAGACCAATCCACTGAGTTGCATCTTTGGTCGTGAAACTTGAGACGCGATATGAGTTCGCCAGTTGTGGTGTGGAAAACCGAGATCCCACCATCTAACGGCTCCATTAGCGTTAGTAGACGACCACGGTGGAATACCTGCTCACCGTCGTTACACCCGAGAGCAAGCGTCTCATCAGGGCCACCGAGGCCACAGCCTAGCACAAACTGGCTCGCGCCGGCTTCAGGATCTGAGAAATCTTGAACCCACTTCCCTGAGAACGGGTCAACTAGCAACATATCGCCGGAATAAAGCCGAACCAAGACATGTGGAGAGCCGGTGATGGTAGACAGGTGAACGACACGTGACGGCATGGAGATGGTGCGAAGAAGGTTCTTCGTGGTGATGTGGTAGACCCGGAGAGAGCTGATGTTATCGCCCACCACGAGCCATTCCCCATCGTCACAGACAGCCAATAGGAGACACGAGAACCCATCTACCCACACGGCGCCGCGATTCGGGGTGTATAGAGGGAAGGTCGGGCTTTTTCCAGGGCGAGTCTGTCCATTGTATTGGTGCCACACCCATCGTCTCGTGGAACGCTCCCTTGTATCACGGAGAATTTTTGGGCTGGCAACACCAACGAAGAAGCACTCGGGGTCCAGTGCCCAAACACAAGTGTAAAGGGCCGTCCCGTACGGGCCGAGGGTCTTGAGAAGGACACCGTTTCTAAATGCCAGCAGCGGGTTAGAAGCTTAGATCCTTAACTGGATACCCAAGTACCTATCTTTGGATACTGGATCGACACCAGACATCACGATAGGCCGCCGGGCTTGCTTCTACTCACATCGGCATCCCACAACTTTGCTGTGCGGTCAAGACTGGTGGTAACCACCATACTATCATCTGGTGACCATGCCGCGCAGCTCACTGCCTGCTTGTGGCCTTTGAGTTTGAACAGCGCCATTTGGAAAGCTAGGTCCCAAATAACAACGCAGTAGAAATCTCCACCAGCAACGAGCCGGCTCCCATCGTGAGAGAACTTGACAAAACAAACCTCGCGTCTGTGGTCTCCCAGCACAAATGCCTGGAAGTCGGGTCGATTGTCGTTCTCGACCTCTGCAGTTGGCTTGTCTGGAGGCGACCGGTCAATGCGGAAGCTGTGTAATGGCAAGTTGTGGGAATCGCTGGGAGTTGTGCACGCGTTGGGGTGTCTGTTGCCCTCCAAATCAGCGGTATCTTCAGTCGGTAGCACGCCATCGTGTCGACTCTGGGCAAGCGCGTGGAGGTCCCGGCCTTCGTTGTCGACGGGATTCACCGAGACATCATAGCGACTGCAAAGCGCCGAGACAATATATCTCGGTGCCCACGTAGGGCGGCCCAGGATAGCGCTGTCCTGCCCAAAATGTCCCTCGCATCGGGCTGTATTCCGGCCAAGCTGAGCAATCGCGTTACGACCGAAGTCAGGCCTAAACTCGATGCCCAGATGAGGGCTGTTCGTCCTCGAAAATCGACAGCGTTGATATTGACGTCGCCGTGCCCTCCAAGAACCTCAATAATGTTGTCGTGCCCACCAAAAGCTGCCCAGCTCAGCGCCGTCCGGCCCTCTTCGTCGACATCATCGGGCCGGATGTTCTCGTAGCTCAAGAGCACGCTAACAATCTCGACATGGCCCCAAGCGGCCGCCAGGACGAGAGGCGTGGAACCGTCAAAATTTGCCGCACGGATGTCAACATCGTTAAACTGCAAGAAGCAATCTACCAGATCGCCGTGGGCCCACCTGGCGGCAACATGCAACGGCGTCCAGCCACCGGAGCTTACTGAGTTGATGTGATGCCCTGAATTAACAAGCTCCCCTATAACGCCGGCGCGATCAATTTCGTGGGTTGGAACATAGGACCCACCTGTCCCATGTAGGCGACGCTTGAGCGCCGCAGTATGAAGGGGTGTCCAACGGCCCTGGTAAGCAGGCTGGGAGGCTCCGAAGTCGAGGGCCAGCTTCACCAACCCAAGGTCGCCCACTGAGGCCGCGTAGTCTAGGATACGGTAGGGATTGGAAACGATAAGGATCGGCGGCAAATCGAGCGACCGATCCGACAGGGCAGGGTAGGTTAAGGTAGCTTTCATGTGGTGGCGGAACAGTTTGAAGGCAGCCCCGAGCCTCTTTGTTGGCGTGAATGCTAGAGCCGACCAGGCCAGTCCTTCTGGTCATCCATAGATGATAGGATATATAAGTGGTCCAGCGCTCTCTGACATGCGTATTGCAGCAGTGGATATGGTGGTTGCTGCCATCCGGCCGCGGCGGCGTCGTCGTAATGGGCAACATACGCCATGCAAGTCCTGAACACGAACACATGGCTGTTGGTGGGATCTAGCCAGAAGGAGGCCGGCACAACTCCGCTGCTGTGTAGATAGTCGTGAACCGAGCTATGGTCGAGGTAAATTATAACATCACCAGAATGTGATGCCTCCTTCTCGTCGACCGTCACGAGGGCCCGCCAGAATCCGTTGGATAGATGAAGCTTCCATCAAGCGGTTGCCGGGGTGAAAGGCAACCGAAAAGTCGTTCGACTCGGGCAAGATGTTGGTGTCGTCAATCTCAAAGGCGGCGACCTCAGCCGCCTCGGCCAACGTCAGAGGCTGCGTGGAATACGCAAGCCAGCGCAAGATCGCTAACGCTTCCTCGAATTTATCCTCATCTTGGACCCGTTTGAGGATGGCTTCGTGGGTTGCCTCGAGACCCTTGCGAAGACGTTTGAGCGCCTTCCTCACATCCTTTTCTCGCTCCTGCCAATCAAGGGTCTGCATCTGCAGGTGAGCCCAGCGGAACACACCATCGGAATGCCTGGCGAGGTAGTCCAAGACCTCTTCCTTCAGCGAATCCGCCCACCGTTTGAAGGTCTCGGCCTGCAGCAGCGTCTCGAGGTGGCTCCGGATATCCCGGTTGATCTCTCCGACGCGAAATGGCACAAGGTGTTTGTGAATGGGGAGCGCCTTGATGGCTTCTTCGAGGTCCGGCTCTCGACGGCTTGTGACAAGAATGCGCGTGTTGCCTATGTCCTGCTGTGACAGCCAGCCGAAGAAATGAATCACCCGTCTTTGCAATTCGGGCCGGCGGCACTCATCCAAGGCATCCACGAAAATGTACGCGTTGTTCGACAGCCCGAGCATACTCAAAATCACCTGATCGAGGTCTTCCATCCCGGGTTCGGCAGAGGGAAAATACTCAACTTATCCGGTCGGATGAGCTGCTGGAGGATCTGGACAAGTAACGAGCACTTGAACTGGCGTAGAGTAACTGGCCCATTCCGGATGGAAAAGTAAAAGAAGGCGAGCGCGCCAACATGGTCCTGCTTCATTGCGTCAATAATCGTGGAGCTAAGAACCGTCTTGCCGGACCCAGCTACGCCACCAACACAAGGCTAACATGAAAACCAACTCCCGCAGCCTCACCGGGCCGGGCACAGATAGTGACCACTCACCTTTGGCATAGAGCCACGTAAAAGACCGAGGATCCTTCCTCCAAGTTTGGAAGTGTCCTTCCAAAAACCACAACCCCGTCGATTTGTCGGTACGCAGATCCCGTGCGAGGTTATGGGCTACTCGCGGATCAAAATATGGCAGCAATCGCAGATACCTCTCCCTGTCGGCCTCGGTGATGAAGATGTACGACGGTGACTTGGCCTGGAGGAAGTCGGTGACCAGGGCATGGACACGCGGGTCGTCGAGATACGCCTCAGTGGCTGTCACGATGTCCCCTCGCTTTTCGTACTCGTCCAGCACAACATCCTCTAGACCACGGTCAACATTGAAGCGGAAATAGCGTCCACCAACGCCAAAGTTCTTCTGGTTCCGGTAGACGCGTTGCTCTGTCTCTTCGGCCTCGGTGGCCAAGGCCACGAGCGTCCGCTTCATCTCGATCAGGTTACTGCGGAAGTCCCGGAACTGAGACTTGCCCGTCCCGATACTCACGAGGCACTGGATCCTCGACGGGGTGTCTTTCCAGATGGAGTTGGCTTCGGCCAGGACGGCCTCGACGGGGTTGTTCCAACCCGTGGCCCCGTCAACAAACTCCTGGCAGCCGATGCGTATCGGATCGAAGAAGGTGGATGCTGCCGAGGTCGCACGGGCAGCTTCCCATATCTTGACATCGGTCGTCGATAAGCCGTCGACCGAGTCGGCCGTAGTGTAAGATCGCAACAAGACGGGCGTGTTGAGCGCTTTGGACTGTGTGCAAACAAAGCTGCCCGGTTGGGAATACCATGAGTACCAGGAGAGGAATATCGGCAGGTTTCCTATCGGGATTGGAAACTCACACTCTGCACAGTCCGCCAGGCTCGAATAGAAGTGCGTCCGCATCTCCGGCGGCCTCGCTGGCGGCTGCTCTGAACTCCTCGACGAGACTCTCGGATCGGTATTTTCCGTGCATAGTCCATAAGTCTTTTCCTTTGCCCATGATGTTTATCTTGTTCCTCTTCCGCGTGAAGGCCGACGCAGAAAGCTGCAGGTACTTGTCAATACATTCCGTAACGCCCATACGAAGCCGACCGAGCATAATGGCTATCAGCCTGCGTTTCATTAGCATGTCTAATACCTCGCTGTTTCTCCGTCGGTAATAATCACCCGCCAGTACTAGTTCCTCCGATGAGGTCGAAGTAGTCGCATGGCTTTGGCGGATCTTCCGGATTGACACTTTTCATCAGGTGCTGAAGGATGATCAAGGACGAGAGCCCACGAATGCCCCCTCCGTCTGTCAGGTGGTGAGCCTGGAGTTGTCACACTATGACGGAGCATAGCGTCACATACCTAGGGAGAGTAACCTTAGAGGACCTGTATGCCCGTTGTCCATGATTCGCGTGTGTGGTTTGAGATGTGGACGGTTCGAGTCGAGAGCCTTGTTGGAGCTGCAGCGGGGTAGATTCGCTCAACTTATGCATGCGAACGTGGATTAGCAACCCAATGAGCCTCATCATGTCAGCCCTTCGTGCAGCACTGCCTCCATTCACCAAAACCCTCTCCAACTGACAAGCCGAAATGCAAAGTCTACCAATTATATAATGAAACTACCTCCCACAATCTACATAAACCAGCGTTGCTTCTTTTAGAATAAAATCTTACATGGAATCGTAGTGCTGTCCTTGAATCGTTTACTTCTTTCTGGGACACCGTTTCTGGAACACGTACTGCTGGTGCAGCTGAGGACGATAGGGAATGTATATAAAACATCGCGGTTACTTCAGCTTTAGGATACAATCTGTTATTAGCTTGGAGCTAATGCCAAACCAAAGTCTCCTGCCTATCCTTCGATTTTCCACGGCTCTAACGCTGCTGCTGTTGTCCAGCAACAGCAGCACCAGGCCTACCAGAAGAGCCCCTCGCAGCCGCGGGAGCAGGCGTCCCGCCAGCTTGCCGGTGCTGAGCGGGGGCGGCGGCGGGGGTGGACGAGTTCGCCGGTTGGCGATGCGGAGTAGAGCTGCCGGGAGGACCGGACGGGTGCGCAGGGGTAGGAGCGGCGGCGGCCTGCTGAGCCGCGGGAGGAGCCTGACCATGAGCGGACGAGTCGGTCGGGACAAGCTTCGAGGCGAAGCGTTGCAGGTCCTGGATCTGGACCAAAATCCTTGAGAATTTAAACTTTTCCTCAAGTTTCTCCACCTGGACGCCGCTAACCTGCGCGACGTGGACGGTGCCAAGATCGTCGCGGCCCTCGGGAAGAGCCTCGTACGAGGCTGCCACTCGGGTCACGCTGAACGGCTTGAGTGCGTGCTGCGCGTCTAGGCCGAGCTCCCTGTCCAGTTCCGACTTCATGGCAAGAGTGGACTGGTCGAAGGCGATGAGATATGTGTATTCGGTGTTGCCGGCGCTGAGCGCCTTGAGAAAGTGTTTTTCTCGCCTGGAATCTTTATTCTTCTCCTCCCTATCAAGCTCGGGACTTAGGGGCTCCGGTGGGGGAGGTGCGCCTGACGAGGCTGCTGAAGCTGACGAGGCCGCCGGAGCCGCCGAAGCCGCCGGGGCTCCTGTGCTACGGTTTGCCGGGGCCGCGGGGGCCCTCGTATTCGAGGATGCCGGAGCTGCCGGGGCCCTAGTATTAGAGCTCGCGGGAGGCGCCGGGGCCCTGGTGCTAGAGCTTGCTGGAGCCGCCGGGGGCCTGGCGCTAGAGCTTGTCGGAGCCGCCGGGGCTCTGGTGCCAGAGGTGGTGTTGTTTCCGCTGGGCATGATTCCGGTTTCCTAAGAAAGGAGGTAGGTCGGTGAGAAATTGATTGAATAGCAGAGTCGAGGGAGATGGTAGATATAGATAAGTCACGTCGTCGATGAGTGGCGAGATAACCAGCGGGTTGTTTTCAAACAAAATACAATGCAGTTGTCCTCAATGTTATGTTTCCGAAAGTGACTTGATGCTTTATTGTACCTACCTAATTACGTCGGGGGCTCATCCCGCTCTTATACAACGGCAGCCGTCACTATGGAGGCAAGGCACGCATCGCCGATCGCACGGAAATGAAAACGTTCGCTTACGCCAATGACGCTACAGCTATACGGAGTCAGCAACCTTACACCAAGCTGGTTGGTAATCACGGTCGTTGGTGACCTCGTACCTAAATGCGGCGCAGTGAAAGTAATCTAGGTAGCAAAGTATAACACATCGGCCTGCGGCCCTGGGAGCCCGCGCCGCCCAACTACTTCGTATCCTCAAGCACTCGCAGGAGAAATAAGGTCTCCTACATTTTGAGTGCTGGCTTTGTACCCGAAATATCAAGGGTTTATCTCCCTTACCTAATCAGAGGTCATTATGAAACCAATGTGTCTTAGGTCAGCACCGAATATTGCCTCAAGGTGGAAAGCAGCCAGCGATCGCAAGAGGATTACTGAACATGGATCCCAGACCTCGGTGGTCGTTTCTTCTTTGCCTGTCATTGTTGGTTAACAATGAGGCGGGTAAAGTTGGCCCTGCGGTCCTGCCTTCACAGAATCTCAATTTCCACCCCACTCTTCACTAACAGCCAGAGAAAACTACGGATAGCTACCTAGGTACCTAGGTGCTGAACGTTTCACGTCAGTTCCAACATCCAATTGGGAGAAATCTCCAAACTAGAAAGAATATGTCTATACATCTATCTATATTTAGCTGTTGTTGTACACCTTCCATCATGTTGACCCTTGCCTCTAATTAGGTCAGCTCAGCCAGGCCATATGACGGCCTTGAACACACTCGTAAAGTAGCGCTCAACTTGAGGACTTTGACCTTGAGCTCTGACAGCCTGACTAGGCCCGCAGTAAGCAGCAAGCATGGAGAACGCCTGTTACCGACTGTGATGTACAAGGGACGAAATCGGCCACTTACGTTGTTGTTACTATCAAGTCTTAATCGGCCTACGGTGGACACCAGAAAACACAGATCAGCCCAACCAGTGAGCTGTCGGTTGGCCGTCCCGTCACAGACGACATAAGCAATTAGGTTTTCGGTGGGCCTAATGTCCGCTAGGAGAATGAGATATTACGAGTTCAACGTCTGAGAAGTGGTGGCGACCACAGCTTGGGCCACCGTCCAGAGGATCTCGCACGTTATTCTCGTACATGGTGGGAACCTTCTCATGTGTCCTGGCTTACTTACCATGCTGTTGCTTTAGGCCACGACATCGTATCGATAGATTCATCGGACAGATTCGATAGAGATTAACTATAAAAGCGTGTTTTCCGTAGCCGTAACACCGGATAACCTTCTCTCCAGCACACACACCTTCATCTCTCATTTCTCACGTTTTGCCTTTGACACTGGTTGTCGTAGGCCGCCCCGCTTTCCTTACGCCGCCTGTATCCTAAGTCAAGTCTGAGGAGGTACATTGTATCTATACCCTCACAGCTGTTCCATCTTTCCCTGTCACCTCTTCTTATTCGTTTAACCCCAACTCAATATTTGTAATCATGAACTCCCGCCGGGCCGCTGCTCCTGCTCCTTCCCGTGCCACCGCGTTCCGGAACCCGTGGTGTGGAGCCGAGATCGAGATCTTCGTCAAGCTTAAGCCGAGTGTCCAGGGGATTATCCAGCAGAAGCTCCGGCGGAATCCCAGAAGCATGGCAGGGCACTGGAGGGATTGGGATTTTGACCTCGAAAACGGCACCGGTAACCAGGACAGGAAGGAGAAGCAGCGCAGATGCGTCGGGAAGGCTATCCTGGAGATTCTTGATCAAACACTTGGACCCAATCATCGCTGGTCTTGCGAAAGCGATGCGAGCTTGAAGGAATATACGCTAACGCACCCTCCTGATACCCGGAAATGGTGTATGTCCCTGATAACTTCCGTTTATTTGTTGCCCTCACCCCCTCATCCCCTCATCCCTTCATCCCCCAACCCCCAACCCCCCGAATATCTCCATGAGCAAGCTAATCATTATACGGCGCAGGGGGTATTGAGATCATCTCGCCGCCATTCCCAGCGGACAGCGAGTGGAACGTCACCTTCAACCAGGTGTTTGATGCGATCAACCGCACTTTCGATCTCTGGACGAACGACTTGACGTCATGCGTAAGCTCTTCACCCCCTTTACCGCCTTGAACCTATTTATAGTTGGTTATAACTCGTTGAACCGGTTGACTGACGTCTGATTTGGGAATAAACCATTAGCATGTTCATGTCTCCCCGGGGCCGTATAAGGACAGCAAGTACACGATGGACCAGCTTGCGCAGGTGGCCAAGGGCGCCTTCTTCTTTGAAAGTGCATTGAAGGGGCTTCTACCGGCCGAGCGTCGGATGAACCGATACGCATTGCCGAACTGGTCGATCTATAGCCCTCAACAGTATTACAGTGTGGCACTCCATGGCTGGGCCCCGCTCTTCGAGAGGATCACCAGGCATGCATACCAGCATGGGAACGACACTAACGCCTTCGCCAGGCGAATGACCACCATGGAAGGTTCGGGAGAGACGACCAGGTACGCGTCGACAAGCTTCGACCCTTTTGCCCGCCTGGGTACCGTCGAGTTCCGTCGTCAGGCCGGCGTTGCCTCGGCCAAGACGGCCATCCGCCGTGTGCTGCTGGCGTTGACGCTTCACATCACCGCCCTGACTATGAACTTCGACAACGCCACTCGCGACGTAGGACGGGCGCATCCAACCACCGAACACCTGATCGGTACACTGTTTACAACCTTAAAGACCTACCTCCCGGAAAGGGCATACAAAGACGCGGCATTCAAGACCTGGCTCCAGCAGTGCGCCAGGGATTATGCCAATGACTCTGACGGTGAGGATCAATTTGGCAGAATGGTGCGGAGGTTTGACGAGGTGGAGATCAACAAGCGTGAGGCTAACATGCGCGCGTACGGTGTATATGTGGTAAGTTCCTACCTAGCCGACGCTGATATCACGGACAGCCACCACGGCCTCCCTCTCAGGTCTCAGGACTCAGGGCCCATCTACATTGGCCGAGTTTCCCACTTAATTGCACATATAACTAATAATCAACCCACCGCAGGGTACCGGAACGCCCTCTCGACCCGGCTCGTCCATGTCTAACCACTCACACGTACCATCGGCGCGCCGGGAGCGCCGGGCCTCTGTCAGCGGACCCCCTCCTGCGCAGTCGGCCGGTAGGAGCGGTATCCGCCGCTCCAGCAGCCGGCAGCCCGAAGCCCGAGTGCCGCACCCCGCCGCACCGGCTGGACCTACCATTATCATACCACCTGCTCCGAACGGTGCTGGCCGTACTATCATCGTCCCTGGTCCTGCTCCCGTCATCCCCGCCACGCCATCCTCCTCCCGACGGCGCCGGGCTAGCGTGACAGCGCCTGCGCCTGTGATCCCTGTCGTTCCTGCGCCCAGGCACCACATAGCCGCGGTGCCCGTTCCCGCTCCTAGGTACCCCGCCGCGCCCGTGGTGCCCATGCAGCCGGTGCCCGTGCCGCAGGTGTATTACCCGCAGGTGCCGCCGCAGCAGCCGCAGCCGCGGGGCCCGTATAGGTGATAGTTTAGTTACGCCAGCGGAGAACGGGAAAGTATGACTTGTCTGAACAGGGAAAGGGCTGGGCGGTGAGCGTGTGGGAAAGCTGTGGGGATGCAATACAAACGAGCTGCAATGCGAGAATCAGGGAGCTGAACTAAGGTATCTACCTGTCACCTGAGACAGATAAATATACGCAAGTACAGGGGCTGGTCCCTGCTCGGAGATCGCGAGTTTCCTGTGTGCTGTAGGAGATTAATACCTCAATTAATCGCAGTGTGCAAGTCGAATACACACAGAAAAGAGGCGAACTATATAAGTACACCAATCCCCATTCCCTAACCATCCTGGCGACACCAGCACCCGCGGATTGCTCGCCTGTGTCTTGACCTCCCCGGTATATGGTCCTAACTTTGACATTTCCGCCACGTCATGCTGAGGGTCCTGATGCGCAGTTTCCTTTCCTTACAACTCCAAATTGAACCTTAAGCATCTACCGAATCCTCATCTTAAGACTTCCTCGTCCTCCCTGCGGTAATGGTGAAGCCCTCTGTCTCGCAACTGCTGCTGATATGATGCTGAACTAAAACCTGAATTTATTGTAGGATGTCCGGAGATTGTTTGCTCTGGTGGCGGCGCTCCCCAGCAAGCATCATGACGAAATACTAGATTTAAACACTGTGTCGTTCCTGCCCTTTCACCGGGAGTCAAGCGGTAGGTGCTCCACCGCGATAAAAGAACTGTTTGATCAGCGGGGTCGGATGATAGCCAACTTTGGGTGGGGAGGGGAGGGGCAATGAAGCGGTGCGCTGGTGCCAACGCCAACACCTCATGTTTGCGTGTTGGTCGGGTGTTGGGTGAGAGCTCAGGTCGCACCGCCACCCCCCTCCATGAGATAACCACGCCTGGCTCCAAATTCCCCATCCGACCAAACATTGAGTGCTGCGGCTCTCGAGTTCCTCCTGCCTTCATACTTCTGAGCGGGCAGTCTTGCTTGCTATACCGTCCGATCGAGGCCAGCCTTCGGCGCCGGATTCTAGGATTTCTGTTTGTCCCGACAATTGCGTTCCTCTCTGGCCTGTCCGGCCGTTTTCAACGAGACAATTTGAAACCATCTAGGTCGGTGTGAATATCCCTTTCTAGAGTTGACGCGTTGTGTCGCTAATTCTGTCCTGTTCCATTAGCGTACCTCAACAAGACTTGCTGGATGCTCTGAAATCCAATCGAGGCAAAATCAAGCAGATATGCAAAGCATCAGGCGTCGCCGGCGCATCTGTGGTCGTCATCGATCACGGCGAAACGATCTTCAAGGAAAACTTCGGATACCGCCACATCGCCAACAAGGAGCCTGTCACATCCGACACGATTTTTCGTATCGCTTCCTTGACCAAAAGCTTCATGGGAGCTTGTATTGACCGACTGAGAGCCCAAGGAAAACTTTCGTTGGATGACCTTGTTCAGAAGCATCTCCCGGATGCTAAGAGTCACGATCCCGTGGTTGCCGCAACGGCAACCATTGCCGATCTTCTGGGTCATCGGACAGGGCTCCAAAAGGCCGACCCCCTATGGCTAGGCGCCGGTGGTAAGCTCCTTTTTGAGCGGGACCAGACGATCATGGCCTTCAACGCTCTCCGACCTCAAGCCGGTTTTCGGTCTCAGTTTGCTACAACAATATTGCCTACGGCGTATTGGGCAAGATCATTGCGAAGATCACCGGCCAGCCCTACCATATCTACTTGCAAGAAACCATTCTGAGCCCTCTCGGTATGACGCGCACGGTTGTGACGAAGGACAACGGCCTCCCAGAAAATTCGTCGCTGGCGTATAGCACTTTGGACAACGGCAAGCCATACAATGTCCCTCTCCCTGGCAGCAGCGGGAGCACTGCAATGGGCTCCGCTGGAGGTTTGCTGAGCAGCGGGAACGACTTGTCCAAGTACTACAAGGCACTCATGGCCGCATGGAGTCGCCGTATCAGCAGAGACAAGGAAGCTGTTTTCAGCGATATCTCGTGGATTTTTACGCCGCTGCGGATCATGGAAACACCAGCACTTCGAGAGAAGAGTTATACGTCAGGGTGGGTCAGAAGTCAGCTCCCTACCACCGTCGGTAATATGGGTGTCAACCCCGGGCTTCTGGAGAAAATGCCCGTCCTCTCAGACGGCATCAAGCCTCGATTGGCGCTCTGGCATCAAGGAAGCCTTGTGGGCGCAACATCCTTCGTCATGATGTTCCCAGAGACGGAGTCTGCGGTTTTGGTCCTCACCAACACCATGGCGCTCAACGATGCTGCTGACTGGATCGGACAGCTTCTTGTCGAGACGCTGCTAGACAGCCCCATCCGCAATTATTACGTCGGCTTTGCCTCCGAAAGTGCAGAGCAAGCTCTGAAGCTGTACGCGAAGCTCGGGAGGAAAGTAAAGGCCGGAAGAGCGCCCCAGGGACCAGGTAGACCGCTGAGCAATTATGTTGGGCTATATGTTGGTTTCGCGGGCTTCTTTTGCATCGAAGTTTTAAATGATGACAATGGGCTCGAGATTCTCTTCCAAGGACGTCAATCGCAAAACTACTCACTACAACACCACCACCACGACACTTTCACCTGGTTCATGTCACGGGACGAGCAAATCAAAAGAGTGCGGTTTGTCAGCTACAATCCCGCCCTTTATTTCATTCGCTTTAACGAAGAAGAGGGTAGAGGAATCACCGTGTTAAACTGGGCATTTGATGCAGGAGCACCTGGAGGCGAGGACTTCTTCAAACAGTGAGCATACTCATTTCATACCCACAATGTCCCGGGACTGTTTTGTTCCGAGTTGGAACTGTTGATCACGTTCTGAAACTGGAGGAAATACCGGCGGCCACGAGTGCTAGTTCAGAGGCAGTCAGGGGTTTGGCAAGAAGGTTATCAAAGCTCAGGAGTTACGCGAGTAGAGGACCAAAGAGGAAGTGAGAAAATACGTACTCTACATGCACTGCGTACGATTAGGTACGGCCCTTGCGGCCTGGGGGTTATAGCTCCGTTTCATAAGCTCTCTTTAATTTCTTACAACTGTGAACTATGGCCGTTGAGCATCCAACAAATCTGCTACTCGGCTCCTCGATCAATTACTTCACTTTACGTTATCCCAATCTTCAGAGAACCCCTCCTCCCACCACACTGAACTTCTTTTAAATCGTTCCTCAGATAATATATCAGCTACCACTCAACTTTCCTACCAGATCCAGCCCTGTATCCGAGAATCGCGAGATTACACTGCCAGTGTTCTTAGGCCTATGCAATTACGGGACGCCGCTATGAGATGTGGTTCATGAACTATTATTTCGAGAAAATACTCAATTTCTGTCAATTTCACTTTTAACTGCACATACAGTCTTAGGCTGTAGCAGTAATCTCATACACCTCTCCAACCTCTGTTTCAATCGCCCCCTCATATGGCTGTCCTCCGACTTCAAACTTCTCCGCCCCTTGAACCTTAACCCTCAGCACCCCGCCACTCCTTGCCTCAATCTTTGCGCTGACAAACGCTCCCTGTTCCCAAACCAGCTCCTGGACTATAAAGTTTCCCCGAGCTACCAACCCGTCTGCACTCCCTTTCGCACCAATACTCTCGGGGAGTGCGGGCAGCAAATGGACAACCCCGTCATGGCTCTGTATCAAGACTTCTGCGATGCCAGCGGTCAATCCAAAATTGCCATCGATCTGGAACGGCGTCCCGGGCCCATTGTCCGAGTTCCACAGGTTGGGCGACGGATATGTCTGCACCAGGGTCTGCGCGTGCTTCCAAGCGTCGTCGCCACGCAGCAGGCGTGCATACAGGTTGATGGCCCAGGAGCGCGACCATCCGGTCGAACCGGATCCAGACTGGATGCGGTGATCCAGAAGAGCGGCTGCGGCGCTGCTCAACGATCCGGAAGGACTGGTGAGAGACGGAGTCAGTTGGCTACCGGGGTAAAGCGCCCAGAGCGGGGAGAAATGACGGTGACCAGGTTCAGTGTCACTATAGGCAGGGTTACGCCATTCCTGCAGGCGGGAAGTATCGGGGTTGATTGCTGGTGGACGGATAGCAGGGAGTTTGTCGAGTGCTGCGGCGCAGTCCGTGTCAGATTGATCAAGACCCAAGGCGTTGCAAGTCTCGTTGACGTTGGTGAAGAGCTGGTGAAGGAGCTGGTTGTCCATCTCGATGCTGATGTCAAGGCCTTCGCTCCCGCCGGCTTGATTCATACCCTGAGGCACCTTGAAGGCGTGCTCCGGCGAAAGAGACGGGCCGGTGGTCCAGTAGTCGTTCCATTTGAAGAGGTAGCAGTGGTAAAACTGGGCGGTTTGACGAAGAATGGGCCATGCCACTTCTTCGAGGAAGGTCTTGTTCTGTGTGAAACGGTAGTGCTCCATAGCGTCGGCCGACAGCCAGGCAGCACCCATTGGCCATACGGTGTAGGGCGTGCCCTTGTCGACGGGTGCCGCGTCACCCCAGAGATCGGTGTTGTGATGAAGCACGAACCCGCCATCGTCGCATCCGTACATGGTCTTGGCCACGGCCTGACCGCGGGGAATCGCGATGTTGATCAGGTCGAACACGGGCTTTTGGGTTTCCGCAAGATTGGTAACGAGCGCGGGCCAGTAGTTCATCTCGAGGTTGATGTTGATGGTGTACTTGCTCTGCCACGCCGGGTTGTAATCCTGATTCCAGATACCCTGCAGGTTCGCTGGCAGTGACCGCGGCCCCGTGTCGCGAGAGGACGAAGCAAGAAGGTGGCGGCCGAAATTGAACATCAGAGTCATCAACTGCGGATCTGCGTCAGGGTTCTGCTTGAAGTTGCTCAAACGAGTGGGCACTGGCTGTGACCCGGCATCCCCCGAAGAACCAAGATCAAGCGTCACACGCCCCATGAGGTTGCTGAAGTCGTCGATCGCCGCGTCGTGGACAGCTGAGTACCCTACATCCACGGCAGTGTCGAGTTTCCGTGTGACCACGGCTTGCGCGTCGGTGCCGTCGGGATATCGGTAGGACGTCTCGGCATCAAAGAAAACATCGATCGTATCGGCGCCGGTCACGGAAATTGTCTTGCCGTCCGAAGAAGCAGTGCCTACAAAAGATTAATTAATTAGCTGTGCGGCACCGCAGCGTTTCCTTCCATCACAATACGCACCCCCTGAGTTGACAACCCTAGCCTCGGACCAAAACGTGATGGCGTCGGAGGACTGTCCACTGTTCCCACTCAAAGAAACGACCCCTGTGCCATTTTCGACATTGGCGCTTTGGGAGAGTACCGATTGGGCACGAGAGAGCGACAGCTTGACATTGAGTTTGCCCTGCTCACTAGCACTAAGACGAACGGCAAGGACGCCGTGGGGATAACTGGCCACATATTCACGGCTGTGTTTGTCAGCGCATGTCTTGGTTTCCAAAACTCATTCCAAATTGGTATCTCACCTGTAGTCAGTGCCGTCGTGGGTGTAGTTGACACCGACCGTGCCCTTGTATGTGTCGAGCCAGCGTGTGTAAGATGAGATGCCAGAACCGTGTCCAAAGTCAATGCCGAGGTCGACAAGCGGCTGGTATGCCCTCGGCGAGGTCGGATTCCCTGCCATGTTGTCCATGGCAGACTTGCCCGCACCCGTGATATCCCCTGAGATCAACATCTCCCTAATTTGCGGGACGGCATCCTTGGACTTCGAGTTGGCGCGGTCTAGCCAGGGGCCACTCCACATCGAATTCTCGTTCAAAACCACCTTTTCGTTAGCTGTTCCGAAGACGGCGGCCCCGAGCCTTCCATTGCCAATTGGCAGAGCGCTGGCGAAGTCGTCCCCTGCATCGGATGTGTACCACGCAAACCGTGAGCCATCCCACGCGGTCGCGGCCTCGACGGCAGCGGAGCCCGCGATTAAAAGGGCTGCGAATAACATCTTAGAGACGATGTGGTCACGGATATCATCCACGGTCGTGGCCGTTTTGGAGGCTGTGCCATTGACAAGGAGCCCCGTAATTATAGGTAATTATATACACAACACCGGTGACCTTCAAAAGGAGTGCGGCGCGATGTGTAATACACGCTATTACCGGGTTGTCGGGGTAAATCGCCCAGCCTGGATCTCGGTCCTGCGCCTGATTCGCGCGCATGTGTCCCATTGCGGGTGATCAACGTAAAGGAAGGTAACTCCCGGACAAGGTGAAGCGCACCAGTCAACAAACAATACCAACGCCAGTTTTGATGTCAAAATGGAGCCGAGACGTCCGAGCGGGGAAGTAAACCCGCCAATGCTCGACTCCAAATTCAGTGATGAACTTGATCTCAGGGGCGGCGTTTTTCCGCCTCAACATGCACGTCAAGATTCCCGATATTTTCTCCGGTACCCTGCGAGAAAATAAAGGTGATGGAGAAAATAAAACAGCCGGGACAATTGAGACGCTTTCCCGCGAGCGACAATTCACAACTATAAGCAATTAATATAATTATCGCCAAATACGACTTCAATTAGCAACAGCACTTGGGAACGATTGCCACCTTTTGAAACAGCGACGTAGTGTCAGAATGTCTTCCTAGATACCGAACACGGTCAAGCTATTTTGAATGAAGTAGTTGATGCCCTCAGCCCGCCAGCTGTCGACCTCGATGTAGCTGTCCTTATCAGTCCAGACGATATTCTCTCCCACTCCGCCACCAGCGCTGGTATTGTATGAGGGCCAGGTCTCCAACCCCGGCAGGCCCAAACCCTTGGGCCCGTTTGGATCCTGACCCGTGATGAAGTTGACCCAAGCGGTGGACATGCTTTTGGCTAGCGAAGTGAGCACCTCAGTGTTGTTGGCAAATGGGTTTTCCTCGTAGCCATCACCGCGAATGTTATCGAACACAAAGGCGACCTCTTGGAAGTGGGTGGCTCCGGCGTAACCGGGGATTCTTGGTAGCACAACGTCAAATCGGTAGCTCCAGGAGCGAAGATTCTGGGCCGCAAAGGCGAGGCTTGCGCGTCGGCGAGAGTACTGCATTATACTATTCGCGTCTTAGTGTTTGCTCGGTTGCTGAAAGAGAAATTGGGACAACTTACAAGTCTCCAAACAGGGCGGCTGTACGGCGGTACTGCAGGCCCATGGACTCGGCCACCATGTCTCCTGGCTGGATAATGGGCCACTTGTCCAGCCCGGGAACGCCAACAGCTTGGATGTTGGGGTACAAGTACATCAGCTCGTCCACCACCTGCTCCAGCGATTTGCCCGCCGTCTTCTCCACCTCCAATCCCACTATGGACGCAATTGCGTTTCGCATCTCATCGTCCGTATTCACACCACCACCATTAGGGCCACGTCCCGTGCCAAAGGATGCCCCCTCTTCTGAGTTGCACCCGATCAAGACGGAGACCTTGGGAAACCGACCCTCACTCAACTGCTTGGACGGATAGTCTGCAATGAAATCTCCGTCCAATACCGGGCCCCAAGGGTTAGCGGCCGTGCCATTAAGCGCATTGTGTAGGTCTTCTAGTGGTAGTGTCCGCAGGCAATCAAGCGACTCGGGTGTCCCAACTGTCTCTGCACAGGTGGTGTTTTGTACGAGCGTGTCGTATGTGTCCTGCATGAGATTGGTGGCATTCAGACCCCCGGGGAACCGCCCGATGTATCCACCGTAGCCTGACTCTGCGATGACGCCCCGGAAGAGGCCGTCGTCGCGACCACCATAGGCTAGCGTCTGCGCGTTGACGCTTTCTGCACCCGAGCTTTCACCCCAAATCGTGACCTTGTCAGGCGCCCCGCCGAACGACGCGATGTTCTCGTTCACCCACTGTAGCGCCAGGCGTTGGTCCCTGAAGCCCAGGTTTGTAATGCCCGCATCGAGGGCCTGCTTACCGGAGGGGAATCCAAAGGCCGAGAGGCGGTAGTTGAGGCTGACACCAATCATGGGTGTGTCTTGGTTCACACTGTTTTGCACGATGAAGGAGAGGTTGTACCGCTTGTCCCCCGAGCCGCCCATGTACTGTTGATTCCCGAGAAATAAGGTGTTAGACAAACTTGGACATGCCAAAGATTCTCCTCTCAAACTCTGTGTAACCCGGAAGTTGAAGGACGTACCAAACCACCGCCGTGGATCCAAACCGCTACCGGTAGGCCAGCTGTGTCCTCAATACCAGCCGGTCGGATAACGTTGAGGTATAAGCAGTCCTCGGAAATCTCGTACCCAACTTCATCCCCGCCGTAACCAACGCAATGGGGTGGATAGGCGGTGGCGTCCCTCACATCGTCCCATGACGAATTTAGGTGTTGCGAAACAGTGAATCGAGGTGCTTTCCGTGCATACGGTATGCCGAGGAAGAAGTCTTGGTCATACTCAGGTGAGTGAACGCCGGCGTACGAACCGTTCCGAACATTAACGATGGGAACACTGGCGGCAACTTGACGGTGCGCTGGCAAAGCCCCAACAGTGGACGCAAACCATCCCGAGCCGGCGGCTAAAAGCAATGACGTGAGCCAAGGGACCATGATTTTGTTGGGCGGACAACACTGTGCGTCACGATGGTAACACAGCTGAACCAGATCTTGTACTCTGTCTTTTAACCGTCAGGTATGTCGAACTTATAGCTCTCCAGGATAACGGCCATTTTGCTTTGCTCACTCGGCGCCATCTCGGTCGGCGTTCTGTCCCAATATTCCGCCTGCAGGAGCGGCACCAAGTAAGCCGGGGTGGGCGGCGCGGGGTTGGTATGTACAAGTCTTGTTCACAACTCACCATAGCTCCCCAGAACCGGGACAGTGGCTTCCTATGCGTTCCCTTGCAGCCGTAGGATCCGATTTATCCTGGTACTGTGTCGATCCGAAGTAGTGCTGTCACGGTGGAAAACGTTGCCCGGATGTACGGTGGGGCTTTTTGGTAGCCGAGCACGCCGAGGCGGCTTATAATATTCCATGCGAATAAGATCGTTGCGTGCCTCTTTTCAAGAGTCGTCAACTGCGGGGTGACATTAACATAGGTGATTATACGGCAACGCCTTGTGGGAATGAAGGCAGCGGATCGATCCCAATTGCCTGGTTCTCTCCTTGTAGGTCCTGTTCCAAATACTGCGAGCGGTACCTAACTACGAAGTTAACTTAGGTAGGTAATTTATCATTTTCCTCCGACGTACAAGCCTGCAATTGTAATTAATGCACAACCGACTTTCCGAGTTGCCAATTCTATTTCACCCTTTCCGCGTCTTAAAAATTACACAGAAACACCAATGTTATAACTACCCAATCTTGCGTGCTCGATATTGACTGCCGCGTTTGTTGGTCCAGCATCAAAATATGTCCTCAACATAGTAACCAAGAACGCGAAGGGCAATATACTTATCGTGCATAATATATCAAGGGATAAGAGGGGCCCCCCCCATAGCTGCAACTGACCTTTCCCTCCTGCGACATTATACTTTTCAGAAGCTGCCCGGACATTAAATCTGGCAATGTGGCGTGAGAAGGAATGTCTTTCGTCGTACATTCCAGTGTTACGGGAACGCCCGTAATCTCTACCGGTTTGTATCCTGCGAATGTATACAACGCTGCTTGGGACCTGGCTGCTGTCACATTCGGCATGAGCAACCGGGTAATGGGCGGCATTGTATCTGTACATGGTTGAAGAACTCCCAAGGCGCGAGGGGGCTTGCTCAGGTCCAACATACATGGTCGGTAAATGGCCGCTTCCTCGCTCGGGTATCTAGGTGGCTGTAATGTACATGTACCTTACTTTACCGCAAATACTGTGCGAGGCTAACAACATGTGAATAAAACGAGTCGCTTTCGTTTGGGAAACGCCACCATTTCGACTAAGCGCAAACATAGTGCGACCAGGCTTCCCGCTTTGCTGAAGAAATTATCCTGCTTCTCCCTTTCATTTCTAGCGTTCTGCTCGACCACTTACAGCCCGACCATTATGAATCGTCATCACTCTACCATGCATGCCCTTTCAGCCGCCCCGAACTTCAACACATCCAATATCGAGAGAATGATGGCGCATCGGTTAATATTTACCCGCCACCATGCTCCTCTCCACGCTTATCTGGGTGTCGTTGGGGCAGGCCGACAGATACCCTCAGTGTGCTTGCTTAAATGGCAATAATTACATCGTGTTCCCGCTTGGGACCTCACGGTCTTCTCAGATAATCTCACTCTTCATGTTCAAGCCTTCCACCTCCTGCTCTTTTTCACAATAACATGGCCTTCCTTCGCTTTCTCACGGCCGCTGTTCTTGCGAACGCCGCACTGGGCACCCCGGTCCCCCAAAGCGACGATAACCCGGCGCAGTACTGTGATGCGGCGACTACGATCTGCTACTCTGAGTGGGTGAGCCCGGAAAACATTGCCTACCGTGTTGCCATCCCAGACACGGCCGTGGCAGGAAGCTTTGATGTCCTGCTTCAGATAGAAGCGCCGACAACCGTGGGATGGGCCGGTCTCGCTTGGGGCGGCGTCATGGTCAACAACCCCTTGACCATTGCATGGGCAAATGAGGATGGGGCAGTGGTTTCGAGTCGGAGCGCAACGTAAGTCCCGAATTTACTATGAGCAGTGAAATCACAGGACTGACTGCTCTAGCTCCCGCTCCTATCCTACACCGTACACCGGTGCAACCTACGCCGTGCTCCCCGGCTCCACGGCCAACAGCACTCACTGGTCCATCACCGTCCTGGCTCAAGGCTTGAGTTCCTGGGGCAGTACCAGTCTTGATCCTGCTGGGACGATATCCGTGGCATATGCTCAGTCAGGGACTCCTCCTACGGAACCGGCCAACAATGCCAGCCGCTTCAGCATTCACAACAGCCACGCTAAGTGGACACTCGATCTTAAGGCGTCTCAAATCGCCAACTTCGCCGAACTAGTGGCCAATGCTTCTGCACCGTTGGCCGGGGGAGTGGGAGGTGCTTGAGCGGTCCTCATGAGGAATGCGCTCGAAGAGAATTAGCCTTCTCAATCCAAGAGAGCAATGATCGCGGGGTTGGGAGTGGACGCTTGACCCTAGCTGGGAGGCTGCCTACCGTCGGAAAATTTAGTCTTGCGAATTTATCATAGGTACCATCTTGCTCCCAAAAGATCGATCATTACCGCATCGTACATCTTCAATGATGATCCTCCCATTGACACCGGGATTTACTTGGCTTGATGTCTAAACGTTTACAAGACCCGCTTGGCCGTTTCCCCCGCCTTGCCCAGCACCCGTGGTCGGTCTCAACCTTAATTCCGCCGAGAGTACTGTGTAGTGTAGTACTTCAACTTCGGATCAGCGCGTTACCGACGGCCCGTAGATTAAAAGGCTTATCAATCGCCATTTCCCCTTTCGCAGTTTGCCAGCCATTGGCCGCTTTGACCCTAATCACTTTGCAAAGACTGGGCTATTAGGCAAAACAGCGGAGCGTCCAAAACAAGCAGACCTTCCTGCTCCGCGTCCACCACTAACAAGCCCGGATAGAAATTAGGAGATCAGCATTTAAGAAAGCCGACATCCTGGGGCTGCATCTGCTTTTCGCGTCCGAAAAAATCACATCACAATTGGCATTCCAAGACCCAACCATCATGCACGCCTCTTCCATCTCGCTTCTCGGCCTTGCCGGGCTCGTCTCACGGGTCTCGGCCCATGGCCTCGTCACAGCGCCAGCAACCCGGACGCCGGGTGATGCAACCGAGGCGGTATGTGGCAGCATCATGGCCGAGTTCTACCGGGCGGACAACACCTCCTACCCCGAGGCTCTGCTCCGGGCCAACCCCGACGGCCTGCCCGCTCCGTACGATCCCAGCAATTGCAACCTCTGGTTCTGCAAGGGTTACCAATTTGAAGACAACGTCGACAACGTCCAGGCGTACACCACCGGCCAGGTTGTGGACCTCAACGTTTGGATCCGAATTCCGCACGAAGGATATGCCAACGTCTCGGTCGTCGACACTGCGACTAACACCGTGATTGGGGAGCCCCTGATTGCCTGGCCCGATCACTACGCCGGTTCGGCGACACCACCGGAGGATCAGACAAACTTCAGCATTGAGATTCCGGATCTTGGTGAGCAGTGTGCGGAGGCTGGTGCCTGCGTAAGTCAATTGTCCATCGTGAAAGCCAGGGCATTCATTATCTGACATTTGACAATAGGTCATTCAATGGTACTGGCTTGGACAGGGACAAACCTACGAGTCCTGCATTGACTTTACTGCGGCCCCGGCAGCGTCGGAGTAAAGCCAAACTGAAAATGTACCTTAGGGAGATCATGTTGGATAAATTTCTAGGGCCGAAATCTCGCCCGTAAAAATGTACAAAGTCAACTTGATTTGCTATTTTGTGAGAAGAGATGCATCTGGGACTTGTGTGTGAAGTTCGGACTTTTACGAGCAACCGAATGGTCGGAGCAAACGCGAATTCTCGCCCACAAAGGAACTGCGGAGATTGGCCGGATTGCCGCTGGGGATCGCCCTCCATTTGCATCATTTCCGGCGCCGGCCACTTGGTTGGCCGCCCTTTCATGGCTTTGTGTTTCAGACTGTGGCAACTTCCCGCCCAGAGATTGACGCGTCACACCAGGATTTTAAGGTGCTGACTTCAACGCTACCGTAAAAGAACACACCTCCATTTTCTGCGCAATTCCCCGAAACCTTCACTTGCACTCTCGACTTCCTTTCGTTTTTCGGTCTGACTTTGAATTCCCGCCTCGGCATGGCTCGCAATTGCACCGTCATTCCCAATTCGGTGCCGAGTGATGCGGGCATTGCGGGTGCAGGGGTACGTTGCTCGCCGACAGATTCAAGTCATTCCACGCATTCCTTTCTCGGCTAACAGCACCAGGTCCTACTCGCCTCGGCTATCACAACCGGGTTATCACTAGGACTATCGGCTAGTCTAGTCCTCCAAGATGTGTTAAAACGCTCATCATCCCGGAATCCATCCGTCATCCGGCGACAGCTTCTCAATGGATATTCAGACCAGCAAATTATGGTCGGCATCGGTCTTCAAAGTGTCGGGCTGGTAAAAGCCGACTCCCTGGTGCCGTACCATTTCTTTTTGATATGGATGTTGGCGCTTCTCTCCATGGCCACGCATAACGCCACACTCCTCGCCTTAGTCCAGGACTTTAAACGGGACTGGGTTTTGAGGTGGATGCGGCAACTCTTAATGTTTGTCAACCTCGCTCTCTCTTGTGTTTACGGGGTCTATGTGCTCCAAAGCAAGATCAAAGGGTTGCCGGCCACGCTGCCTATCGGCTGCGTCTGGGGGCTGGATTCTACTTCGTCAAATGTCGGCGGGCTTGATTACGTGGGGACCATCGCGACCATTGCTGGGAACTGCGTTGTGTTTGGCCTCGCAACATGGTACCTACAAAGCCGGAGGCAGCGGTTTTACAGAATTGTCCAAATTGTCGGCTTGGTCCTTATGTCAGCCATCGCCATCGGTGTGTACTGTTGCTCTTCACCCATGACGTCATCTGCTAATTGATGTTTTCAGGTGCGACCGTTCGAGCATACCTTCTTTCACAAGCCTTTGGAAGACCAGACGTCAAGCTCAGTGATGAAGGAGAGAAACAATGGAGCTTCGGTCAGCTTCTCTCACTCCTCATGCTCATCCTGCCTGTTATTTCAGTAGTTGAGGTCATGCGGGGGGCGATAGCTGTGGCGCCGCCGGTGCCTGACGATGACAAGCAAAGTTTGCTAAATGGTGAACTGTCCGACATCCCACGATTCAGGGGGAGTGATTAGCAAATTACATTTGGATTTTTTATTAAATTTTTTGAAGAGAGTGATGTGCGTGCTATAGACATCGCTCACTCATTCAAATCTATTTTTCTCGCATTCTGCAGGTCAAAAACCACTCGCCCTTCAACATTAAACAGGGTCTGAGCACTTGGGCAAGAACACATGCCGTCATGGAAAGGCCATCTTTTTTCTTGCATCATGGCTTCCAAGTTCATTCTCCTAAATACCCTGAAACAGCTTCCCAAAACTCGGCCGGAGATTCCGCCATCGGAAGATGCCCTGCTTGGGGGACGATCTTAAGTTCAGACCCTTGGGCGCCCAATAGCCCCCTGAATCCATCCATCGCCTTTACAAGTGCGCCTTTGCCGTCTCCGTCACCGACAACTAATAATCCCGGGACCTTGCAATTCTTCATCTCGTCACGCAGATTGTAATTCCACAATGCCTGGCAGGAATGCTTGAATCCCTGAACGCTGTTGGCCGCTACCATATCCGTCATCCATCCCGCAACCTCCTTCTTATCGTTCATCGTGTGCGGATGGAACCATCTCTCGACGGTTTGGCTAGCGAGTTTCCGAATCCCGTCCCCCTCCGCCACGGCAATGCGATCCTTCCATGCAGCCGTGTTGGCATCGCTTGAGGCAACGTTAAAGTCACAAGCCACGAACTTCTCGAGCAACTCTGGGTACTTGAGCGCAAACTTTAGTGTTGTCGCACCGCCCATCGAGACCCCGACTAGTGCATGAAGCTTGGGAATGCGCAGTGCCGACAGGAGAGTAGCCAGGTCATCGCTAAGCATGTCGAGGTCGGCCGGAACAGGTGGAGATGGCACATCGTGCCGGCCACGGGTGTCGTACCGAAGGATGCGCAAGTCTGCCCGCGCAGTCTTGATAATAGCGACCAAGGGGTCCCACATGTTGAGTGAGGTGAGGAGCGAGTTCGAGAATGCGATAGTCGGAGCTGTGGGGGATGGATTTCCCTCTAGGCGATACGGAATCCGCAAGCCATCCGCAGTGCTGACGGAGGCCTCAACCACAGCATGTCCGCCCGGGGTTGTTGACAAAAAGTGTCCGTCGGAAAAGGCGGCAGACTGCGGTAATCGAGACAGAGAGTCCAGCTCTCTAGGTCCAGGCCCAAAGACGTAAAACAGCTCGTAGGTCCGGCGGCCCTTTTGAGCAATGTACTTGGAAAACACTTCATCACGCCAGGTCGTGTTCATGGCCGCCTTGTGCTCGGGGCCATCCAGCCCGTTGTCGCGGGTGTACTCATGCAACGTAATGACTCTAGTCTGTCCCCGGCCTTCGATGGCCGATGGAGTGCGAAAGACGCGGCTGCGAAGCCAGCCCGGGATCTTGGACAGCATCGGGATGTGTTCCTTCTTGTACCATTCAATGACGGGCCCTTCAGCGTCGTCGGACTTGAGGGACACCTCAACTGAAACCAAGACAAGCCCCTCAGCCTCGGTGTCTGTTAAACTCTCGATTGGGACGAATAAGGGGCTCTGCTGTGAGTCGACGAGGTCAAAGAACTTTCGATCAACGTCGACCTGCCCGATAGTGGCCGCCTCTCTCGCAGATCGGTTAGCTCGGAGGTTAGTGTAAGTCGGAGTGTCGAGAAGCTGCATAGACGTCACGTCATAGGCTGCTAGGAACTCCGGCCAGTGGCCGTCTGTAGAACGGTACCGTAGCCCGTTTGTGAAGATGTGTGGTAATCTGAGACGTGTCGGGCCGTGTTCGTTGTTGTACCATTCGTGGAATTGGTCCAACGAGAGCCCCTCGCGGGGCTGCATTGTGACGTAGAGCATACCCGGCCCGTTCGCCATGGTGGTTGTAATGTCGTTCTATGATGGGAAACGTCGGTCTTTCTGCGTTTCCGCCCCGAGAATACTGAAGTCACTTTCAAGAAACAAAAAGCTTCATCGGAGGATGCACTCAAGTTCGAGGAGTTGTGACCCGCTCCCGAGTTCGTCCGGCTCGAAAACATTGGGGGAAGTGGAGCACGGCTCTTTTCCCGGCTCCGGCATTTACGAGGCGAAGCTTTTTTCCGTGACGGGCCGCCGGGGCCCGCACCCTGCCAAACTGGAAGGTAAAATCGAAGCAATACGTATCAAGGACTGAGGCGTGAAACCTAACGGAGCTACAAAGTAGCATACGTTTATTCACTTCGGCGGCCGAAAATGGTGACCCAGGACAAATCTCACAAGGCGGCCACCTTTCTGATGAACAATTTGCGCCTAGTTAGGTCGGTAATATACTGGCACCTCAAGCAAATGTATTCTTAAAAAAGAAACCTCGCCAACTCCATAATTCCACACCTCCTCCATCTTGCCTTACGGTTCCCCTACGGCTCGCCCCAGATTTCATCAGCAATCTGCCTGATGAGCGCTAGCTTTTTCTTTTCATCCTCCTCCGTCAACGGGTAACCGGTTTCGTGGGTGCTGAACCCGCATTGCGGGCTAACGGCGATGCGCTTGAGCGCCTCTTCGCGCGATTCACCATTACCCGCAGCCACAAAGTCAGCGGCTTGGTAGATACGCCGCTTCACCTCCTCCTTGTCCTCGAGCTCACGCAGTTTGGTGGAGATCGCGCCGATGACGACGTTCCGGTCCTTGGGGAGGAACTTGAGGGGTTCAAAGCCCCCGGCACGCTCGGTGTCGTACTCTAGGTAAAAGGTGTTGACTTTGAGCTTGGTAAAGAGCTTTTGCGCAATCACGTCGTAGCCACCCTCTGCAAAAAAGCGGCCGCCGATAAAGTTGCCGCGGCAAAGGTGCACACCGGTGTGGAAATCGGCCGGCACCTTGCTGATGCTGTCGTTGTAAAGCTCGATGTAGGCATCAAGAAGGTCGTCCACAGTGCCAATGTTGTCGGGGTCCTCAGCCCAACCCTGGCGGAACTTGTCGGAGCAAAAGTCTAACGGGTGAGCTACTACATTCTTTCTCGACATAGCTAGGCCAGGAACTTACACGCCAAACCAGGGTCGTCAAATTGAACGTTGCGGAGACCGGCTTTGTACAGCTGGTCAAGCTCGGCCTGGTACACCTTGGCAACGTCCTTGAAATACTCGGCGTCGTTGGCGTAGGCCTCCTTGGTGTAGGCACTCCCTTGCTTGTACCGCATATGGAACCAGGCCGGAGTGATTAAGGTGAGTTTGATGTTCTTCCACTCGCTCTCGGGCACATACTTTTGCACCAAGCGGAGCTCGTGGAGGTTGGCCTGCGATTTCTCGGGGCTGTGGTGGAGCTTCGAGCCGGCAATGACGGAATCTCCTGGCATGACCTTACGGTCCTTCTCAACCAAACTGACCACGTCCGGGTGGTATAGCCGGAAAAGTGAGGCATCGGCATCCTGCAGCCGGACAGTGCCTTCAAATTCGTCCCACATAAGACCCCAGAAACGGGTGCGATTGTATTCGCCACTGGTAACGGCCTTGAATCCCAAGTCTCGCTGAAGCTTAACCACGTGCTCAACCGCCTCGGATTCGACTGTGGGAAGGCCGGCTTCCTCCGGGCTCAGGCCCTTCTCGCGGATGATCTCGCGTACATCCAACAGCTTCTGCGGTCGCAGGAGCGAGCCCATGTGTTCGGCACGGAATGGCGGCATGTTGAGAGAGGAACGGGTAGGCTGGACAAAACAGACGATGTGTCAAGAAACATCCAAACCAGACGGGAATAAAAAGAGCACAGTTTTCGAGGCAAACAAAAGGCGGGGTTTTCGAGGGATTCAACTGATAAAAGACTCCAACTCATTAGAGTCCCTATGACGGAAGCGGGGCAAAGTGGGAAGATCCAACTCAAGTTTGCCGAGCCCACGCCGACCTCCACTATCCCATCTCCGGCAATTATAATTCTAATTCAGCCAGAGATCCTCCACGCAAGAGTGCGGCCCAAGCACAAACTCCAGGTAATCTCCCTAATGAGGGCGGCTTATGGTTCGTGGGCTCTCTGGTGTGCATTTCGTGGCGCGTCGAAATGTTTGGTTCGCCTGTGTTCGAGGTGGGATTCGGATGCAAACGCGTTGAGTGCGTTTCTCGGCTCCCCGGAGCCATGATCTGGCGCCGGCAAACATGCCATGGAAGTGGTCGGGGTTAGGGTTAGGGTTCGGGTTGGTGTCAGCTCGTGGGTTTTCTTCAATGTATCTTGTGGGTTCATCGTGAGTACCTCCCATTACGGAGGTTCAGTAGATGAATCCAGTCAAAACCGTTATCCCCCACCACAACTCGCATTATACGAATATTTTCCAAACCGAATGTATCTCGACTCTCCACAACCACCAGTCGGTCGGCCGAGAAAGTGTCGCATCTTCAATCGTATCTTCAATCGTATCTTCAATCGTATCTTCGATTCAATCTTCAATGGTAGAGCTAACCCTAACCCTAGCCCTACTTGAAAGAGGCCGAGGAGCCAGCCTACTTTTTGCAGCGGGGCTAGCTTTTTTTGAGCCAAACCATTGAGCCAGCCCACTTTTTGCAGCAGGGCCAGGTTTTTTAAGCGAGTCTTCTATATATTGAAGATTGAATTGAAGATTGAATTGAAGATACAATTGAAGCTACGATTAAAGATACGATTGAAGATGCGATTGAAGATGTGACACTTTCTCGGCCGACCGACTGGTGGTTGTAGAGAGTAGAGATACATTCGATTGAAGAATCGGTCGCTCAATGCAATTCGGTTCGTGCGAAAAATGAATTTAACGCAAGTGTGGTGGGGCGATAACGGTTTTGACTAGGTTCATCTAACAAACCTCCGTATCCCGCCCCAGGATGGATTCCAACAATCTATAGAATACGGGAGGTAACTCATGGGCCCTAACTCTGCTTCTGCGGTCCGCTCTGGCGGAGTGTGGACGTCCAAGGTTGGTATCATCAATCTGAGACAAGCATCAAGCGACTATTGGTACATGGGTAGTGGACCTGCGTACGAATTACTCACAAACACTCGCGATGTGTTATAGGGAGGCCAGATACAGCGGTCCACTGCGAGGGAACAGGTAATTATGCCAAGTCGTACCCACGCACTTCCAAAACTAAGGGGGGCTACCATATCACCAACCGAGCTCTGGAGGCACTCCGAGAGTAACCACCTCTTGTCGGCTACAGGGCCTGGGCCCGGCACGGGCTAGATTAACAATTATCTGACGCAGCCAGTATTTGTTCGGAATCTGTCGTCATGACCTCTCTTTACATTTATTACGCACACTATTCCGGCCACCACTCCTCGCCAACTGTTTCAGGGCCCCTCCCACATTTGAATAGGAACACTCGCAAGTATTTTTCTTGGTCGGACGTGAAACAACATAATTACATAATTAGTACACGACGTGCGTGAAGCACAGGATAGGGTGCTTGTAGCAGATACGCCCCGGGGTATGTACAATTTGCCTCTTCACTGTCTCCAGTTAAATTAATTGTTACAATTCAGACTCAGCCGGCCGAGATCTGTCGCAAAAAGCATAGTAACCAGCGGTGCGGCATGTTCATTGATATCCTATGCAGGCAACAGGTTAGGTACGTACCTCCTGGCCCACTGGGTAGATATTGTAACTACCTGTTGTAATGGATGGCCGGACTCCTACACAAGACATGTAATTACCTAGGCAACGCTCGCTTAGAACCCGTTGCCCCAAAACTAAAACTTGCACGTATTGGTTTGCCAAGGTCGACGACAATGGCTCTAGAACACTCCAAAGATGACCAAGCGCAGCCGTCTCCCATATCGTTCGAACATTGAACCGGCCAAGGAACTCGGGAAGATCGAGGCGATCCCCTGTCCCCGCGATCCGTTCTTGGATGCCCCATTGGTGGAAGCGATGCAAGGCACGCCAACCGAGCGAATCGTGTCCAGAACGGTTACATCCGTTTCATTATTACCGGAAACCGGGATTCCATGACGGCAACCGCGAGAGATCTGCGATGACTCGAGCCTGGGCCACGAGGGCCCAGGTGTATAAAGCGGTCTTAGTTTGCCGAGACCAGTCCTGTAAGTATGTCCGTGGTTCTTTGGAGTGCGTACACGCAAGACTTATGTTCTCAGGGTCCCCAAACCGCTATTTGATACTCACTATGAAGGGTTTTATTCCATTGATCCTGGGTCTTGCGGCCTCGGTCGCCTCCGCTGCTACGCCGGCGACTCCCGGCCTAACCTACCTGTACTCGCTCAATTGCACCCTTGGAGCGGCGCTGTCGGTCGGCGCAGGACCTCACGGCACACGCACCGTGATCCCCATCACGGGCGGCACATTTTCTGGGCCTAAGTTGTCCGGTACGTCGTGGTTTGAACACTCCTGGTGCAAGATCATATGCCCGAAACTAATCACAGTGGAATGAACAGGAAAAGTTCTTGACCTTGGGGCCGACTGGGGCTTGGTCGACAAGGATGGTACCTTCTCAGCCGACACACGCTACCAGCTGCAGACAGACGACGGCGCGCACATTTTTATCCGCACGTCCGGGCCGGCTCAGGCTGACGGAAAAATTCACCTGCGCATGGTATTCGAGACGGGCAACGCCGATTATTACTGGCTTAACAACATTGTCGCGGTTGGGATCTTGACAACAGGGAACGGATATGTCGCAATTGATGGATGGCAACTGGACAGTCCCAAGTAGACTCGGCCCAGGTACTGGACCGGTGCGGCATCGAGGCGATTTGAATTACTTGTTCAGATAGAGAGGATGAGGGGAAACTCAACGGTTTAAATTCTTGGCCACGCTGGAAGCATAGAAGGACATGCTGTTGAGGCTTGCCGATCCATGATGTGATTGTAGTTAATTAGAGCTCCCATCCATGAATCTGGGTTCCATTGCCAATCATATGCCCTCCCATGTGGCCGTATGTTTTGCGACACCACCTAATCATAAATGTCAACACGCATCACGGACCCTCATCGCAACACGCAAATCCGACGGCCTGGCTAGAAAGCTTCCAGATCCACTATTTGAATGCCACAATACTTTTTTCCAGGACCAGGTAGTGAGTCGTAGGATCAGGCCGTTATAATTAGCGTATTCTTCTTCATGATTTTGTGTTTCTCGCACAATCCATCGCTTGAATAATGTATACGGAGGCTTGGCTCAAATCGCTTATCGCCCCACCACACTCGCGTTAAATTCATGTTTCGCACCAACCGAATTGAATTAGGCATACATTTCTCAAACCGAATGTATCGATACTCGGCCTTCTGGCCGAAACAACATTATATAACCAACCCTAACCCTGAAAACTGTAAATAAATGAAATAATGATTTAAAATCCTCTATAAAGGGAGATTTTTAAAATTAAATTAACTTTACTCTAACCCTAAACCTAATCCTCCTATCCTAGCTGGCTTGATAGTTGGCTGAGAAAAATTTAGCCCTGCTGTCAGTGAGCACAAAGACACCGGCCTAGAGGCAATGTGACGAATCGTCTCAACCACACTCTGCAAGGGTTCACTGAAGGTAAGGTAGTTAGGGTTGTGATTCGGTGAAGCCAAAGGGTTCACAACAAGATAATGATCTGGTCTCAATGTTCGTA